CACCAGATGAATACTGCGAACGATATTGACCTTATTAAGTGGATTGGGTATAAGCTATGACGTGATAAATCTACATTGAATGCAGTTTCTTTGACATTTTCATTATAAAATTCAGTGTTTTTGCTGCATACACAACAGATAGAGGACCAGAGGTTGGGAGTCAGTAAGACATTTTACAACATTTTACCCCGGGCCCCCTAACAGGTTAATTCTGCCCTGCCCCAGCTCTTGTGAATTGTAATCAGATTGTTTGGTCACATTCTCATCACTCTGTCTTACTCAGACCTGGCCGTTCCCCATCTCCTCTTCTCACCCTCGGCTCCCCCACCTCTCCTCTCTCCCCCAGCTGTACTGTGGAGGACAGACCAGTGAATGAAACCTTTCATTGAGCGTCAATGTCGCACTTGTGTGTCAAAGGCATTGGGGGAAAAAATGCCCCAGCTTTGGCAATTACTCCCCTTTCAAAAAGCCCACCTAAACAATTGCACTTTGGATCAAATGTGTTTCCGTCTTTCTCTGTAAATGTGAAATGCATAAAAAACTGCATGTTGCATGAAAGTATTGGTGTCTATTGAAAAGTTTAAGGGTAGTTTATGTGTTGCATTGTGCATTGATATGTATGTCTCTTCCTCCTGTCATACTGAGCTTGTTTGAAAACTCTGAAGGCGTTTTGAATGTGCTGAACACCTTCACAATCACTTATTGAAAGCGTTCTCGTTTATCCATCTCCTTCTTCAGTTCTCTGCAGCTGCCAGCAGCGCTGAAAGGCCGCACGACACATTCCTCTCACAGCATGTTTCATATTCCTTGTCATCACTTAAATAACAATGGTAATGCAGGTTCTGCTCTGGTTAGTCAGGCCTGAATCTCCTCTTCAGCCTGACTTCATTCCTGTTTCCTCTGGCAATCCACTCTCTGCTAAACAGATCCAAAGACAGAATTAGAATAATTAGAAATTCGGAAGTGTACAGTTTATCCAAATGTTCGTGAGTGCTGCAGTGGTGACATAACTGTCCCCCTGGAAACCTGGCACTGCAAAACAGCAGCGTGCGTCCAAGTCTATATAGAGGGAAGAGGGAGAAACAGCAGCAGCAGCAGACTAACTCGATTTTTATACAGCAGCAACCTAGATCTCCTCCCTGTCATCCTTCATTGATTTTGCAATCCAGCGGCATCCAAGCAGAACCATACAAGCCGTACACCTCAGTCTGCCGCTGATAGCCAATCTCTATTACCCACCTAGCCCAAGGCTTTGGTTTGAGGGGCTAACCCTCTAAGGGGAAGCAGAGAAAGGGAGAGAGCTCCTACTGGCGGATCGGCGCGATGATGGATTTATGAGCTGCCTGGAGAAAGGATCATCTTCTCTACCCCACTTTTATTATCCCATCAGATCTGACGTGATAGCAATAATACATGACGGCCTGTCACATTTTGCAGATCTAGCAGTGAATGTGAATGATGATTTCAAATGCTTGCATCTAATCAGCCGCAAAATTGCTTCAGTAAATATGTTCAACCACCAGCGCTCTGTCTTCCTCCTGTCTCTCACTTTGAATGAAACTCAGAGTAATAGGCTTGTAGTTGTCACAATGTTTAAGACCCGTGTTGGCTTCACGGTTCATAATTAGCTTTTAATGCACAGAGAGGGCTTGAGGGGAGGAAACTGACGGAAATGTGGAATGAAAAGAGGCCTGCTGTGTGGCCATAGTAATTCAGGCTTTTGTTCTCTAATTAAATGACCTCATAAGGGAGCGCTAAGCTTAAGTTTGTGTGTGTGTGTGTGTGTGTGTGTGGCGGGCTCTGATATGGAGGTTTGTGCCAAGTGTGTTCAGTCTCGCAATGAATAGGGCGTCTCCTACAAAGCCTAAGAAGCCCTCTCCGTGCCCGCTTTGCCTCCTTGTTGGTTGTTGGAAATTTGGCACAAAACACCATGTCTTTAACAAGTGGTTTCTGGGCCCCTTCGCATAGTTCAGGACATTGTAGTTAGGGACACGGTAGCTCCTGGTCTTTTCTCCCTCTCCCACCTCTTTGGAAAAAAAACTGAAAGACTGGCAGCCTTCCTTGCAAGTTGATGTGCACAAAAGATTACATTATTGTGTTCATGTACAGCAAAGCAAAAAGAAAGCTTACATGATCTTGTTTGGCCCTGAAGGTGTCAGCAGTTCAAAAAATTAACAGAAACACTGCTTAAGTCTTTAGCAACAGAGTTTAAAGTGTCAAGTCACTCAATGAAAAAATATTTTATCACTTACCACTGTGGCATTGAGCCATGCAGCTGACTTTAGTTTTATATGTCCATGTTATTAATGAGATATTCTTCTGCCTCCATCCCAACTCAATGGAGGCAAATGGAGTTTTGTTCAAGACAATAAAACCACATTTGAGATACTGAACAGCAACAATTCTTTCCAGAAACAGTGCCATCCTTACTCTGGATAATCCACAGACCTCGTTGTCAACTGTTCACATTGGAAAGTGGTTTCAATGAAAACTGTTGACAGTGAGGTCTGCGGATCATCCAGAGTAGCAGGGACAGTGGAAGAGCTGCTGTTGAATATTTTAATGGTTATATCACAGCGTTGTGTGCAATGAAAACAAATTCAATTCACCTGCCTTGTATTGAGGTGGTGACAGGAATCTCAAAACTGTGTACTGTGTTTGTTTATTGTTTGGTATTTGCCCTTTAATATTATATGTAATTTTACTTATTCATGATTGAAAAAGGCAACAATCAAAGTTTAACTTGCATTAATGGAGGTGTAATGGATTTAGAGGTACCGTAACAAGCTGTACACAACACTCACAACATGGCACAGATTAAAACACAAATTCAGATATCTTACATATAAAAAAAAAATAAAAAAAACACAGCTGTTTTAACTTTGGCAGAAAATTTTGCTGTTGTTCTTAAGACTCTATCACTTATAGCAAGAAACTGATTGAGTGTCTGTGTTACAGACGCCTGGAACTACATATCAGACTAAAGGCACCTGATGTTTATGACTTGCATTGTCACGGGTTGCACCCCAACTCTATTTTTCGAATGTCACGGTCGTCCTCTGTCTCCTTTCACTGTATGCGCCAACATAAAAATAATCCTAAAAGGACATTTGAGCCCAGGCGATAAAGTTCCAACATAGCAACTGTTATTGCTGTTGTTGTTGGCTAATGCATACTTTGGATGGACGCGTGAATGAATGTCTCCATTACAGTTGTTCTGCATGCTGACAGCCTTCACCCATTATAGCCACCTGGCACGTCTCCCCCGCCATCAGCCTGAAGCACCAGTTGCGAGCGTGTGGAAGCGGCAGGGCTCCGTCCGTAACCAGATCCAGCTTTGATGAGTGGAACATTAACAGCTGCTCAGGAGGGTGTAAGAGAGGGGGCAGTGAGAGAATTCCTCTGTGTGCGTGTGCGTGGGTGTGCGCGTGTGCATGTGTGTGTGTGTGTCCGTGTGCGTCTGTACTAATGAAAGAGAGGGTGGCAGAATCATAGGTGACATCTTAATTGGCCTTTGGTGCCAGATGCCAGCCTCTAAAGCCGACCGGGCCAGTTCAGGCTGTAACAGTGTCTCAGTAGCCAGGCTGGGCTTTCGGCAGGGTTTTAGGAGCCCGCTGGCTCCGCTTAGAGCTCCCACGGGTATTAGGTGCTCTAGTGTTGTGCTGCCTCCCCTCCTCTCACACACACACAGCCTTTTTCTCTTTCCATCCTTCCTGTGGAGCGCTCTGGGGCATTGTCAACACCAGTCAATCTGAGGCGAATTCAGACGCAGAAAAGCCAGAGGGCGACAAAGGCCAGGGCTTCTTTGTGTTGAATGTATTCACACTGAGGCACCGAGGTCTGGCTTTTCTGCAGCTTCATGCAGTGTTTAGATTGAGATACCCCCCGCCAACCTCCGCCTTCCTGATTTATCCATGTTCACTTAGCTATCAAATGACTGTTGCTTTACTGTCTAACTACCAACCTCTAACCCTCAGCCTGTCACCTCTTGCTCTTCACCTTTTCACCCTCAACATGTGGTTCTTTTCGCAGAAGAACAGAACACCTGGTTAGATTGGAAATCATCCCACACTATGCCTGTCTGACACACAAAATGGTCATGTAACAGTACAGTTGTTTGATCTAAAACAGGAGCACACAGACACTTCACTCTGCTGTTAAATAAGGAGAGGGAAAGTAAAGGTTTTGGGGGGGGGCTGATATTAAAGTTGAATCTGATTAGTGAACAAGAGATGTGGTACCGCAGCGTGAAATAGGCTGCTCACAAAATGATTAACTAATATTCCTGTTTGACATTATTCTTGATCCTTGGTGTGAAGCAGGAAAAGAGTTTTAGCTTCATGCTCTCCAAAAGAGATGAAATTGAAATCCATTTTTAATGAAGTTACAATTGAGTCTCTCACACAGCGGTGTTGCCCCTGACAAGGACAGGATGATATTTTAAGGTGTAAGTGGATCAGGTTTAAATGTAAGTCTTAATTTGTAGCATCAGCTCAGGGTTATTTAACATTATTATTAGACATGTTAGACATTGACCACTGTACATGAGCAAAGATCTTGGGATATGAGAGTTGGTTGTGATCTTGCTTTGACAACCATTGTGACACTCAATTGTTAGTCATATTTTTCTTTCTTTCTTTCTTTTTCTTTCTTTTTTTCTGTCTACACTATACTGCATTATATCATACTTAACTTTTTTATAGAGACATTTTCTGTTCACTTCTTCTGCTGCTGGGAGGTTAGAGGTCAGGTTCAGCTTTAGAGCAGCTCTCCTTGAGGGTGAAGCTCATATGATCAGTAACTCACTTAAGGACATTTCTGCTCACTATTCTGTATTGCGGACCCATTCTCTATTTAAAAAATGCACACACACACACACACACACACACACACACACACACACACACACACACACACACACACACACACACACACACACAAACAAACCTTTGCTGTATCTCCTGAACTCACCTGTATCTGATTTCCTATCGCCTCTCCAGAACGAGCCATCGCCAGACACGAGGTACGAGAGATCGAGCAGCGGCACACGCAGGACGGCCTGCGGGAACGGGACTCGTCAGCTTCATCACTGTCCGACAGCGAGGACGATGTGGTCATCATCTATAACCGCGTGCCCAAGACTGCCAGCACCTCCTTCACCAACATCGCCTACGACCTGTGCGGGAAGAACCACTACCATGTGCTGCACATCAACACCACCAAGAACAACCCGGTCATGTCCATACAGGACCAGGTCAGAGCGACTGCTGACACTCACAGGCCTCTTTAACAAGTTTAACCTAAATTCCCCCTTTCATTTGTTATGTATATTATTCCATTATCTTGACTTTTTGACAAATGTGTCAAAAATGTACTAAAGACAGCATTTCAGCCATTTTAATTAAACAGTTAATTTAACAGTTATCATTTTGGTGTGTTCAGGTGCGGTTTGTAAAGAATGTGACTGAATGGAGGGAAATGAAACCTGCTTTCTACCATGGACATGTCTCCTTCCTGGACTTCACCAAGTAAAGAAATATTTATTAGCCATGTTTATAATAGCAACAAACCACTTCCGTCTGCTGTGGCTTTGTGCAGTTGACTCCACCTTGTGGTCATTTAATGCTCTTCACGTACATAGTGTAATGTAATGATCAGGATGTAGCATAAGGAAATATTTCTGATGCTGAAAGTCAATAGCGTATTATTATTATTATTATTATTATTATTATTATTATTATTATTATTATTATTATTATTATTATCATCATTGTCATTATTATTATTATATGAATGAATGAGTGTCTCGTCTTGTCCTGTTGAGTCTAACCCAACATTTGTCATTCTCTCAGGTTTGGGGTGAAGAGGAAGCCCATATACATAAATGTGATCCGGGACCCCATTGAAAGGCTGGTGTCCTATTATTACTTTTTACGTTTTGGGGACGACTACCGGCCCGGCCTGAGACGCAGGAAACAAGGAGACAAGAAGGTTACAATCCTCAAATAATCTTATTCTTTTGTTTAAATCTGTCAATTCAGGTCTATCTTAATCCAGTAAGAGAGGATCTCAATAGCCAGTATGAACAAGATTGTAGCAAGCAAAACCTGTTTCAGTGCTCATCATAGGAGCCTGACTGTTGTTTTTAGACAGTCTTGAATCCTTGACCCTTTACTTATTTTACAAGTTAGTACTTTTTTCAAATGCTCATGTGCTGCATTTGTGTTTCAGACGTTTGATGAATGTGTATCCGCCGGCGGCTCAGACTGTGCCCCAGAAAAGCTTTGGCTCCAGATTCCCTTTTTCTGTGGTCACTACTCTGAATGTTGGTATGTACTGAGACACCTGACACTATGCCACATTCACACAGCATGCTGATCAACCATGTCTATTAAATTCTTGTACAGATATTTGAATTAAACAAGGACAGCTGATTTAGCTAATATTCGCTCATGTTTCCTCTTGTCTTTATATATTTGGTGCTATTCCAACCAAAACCAACAATGATTTGATCCTACTAACCAAAGCCAGATATAGCTCATGTCTCTATGCCATGTCTCTATGCCATTGTCTAAAAACTAACCATCTATGAGCCACACTGGCTGACATTTGAGTCTATCCTACATACATCATTCTGTTGCACTGGATACTCCCTAGCACACCAAATGTGCATCCACGGCTGAAAATAGTCCCCCACAAATACACTATTCACTTGTTTGAGTAAAAACAAACTATGAAAAACTAGAGTGCTCAGATGTTTTAGGAAATTATTTAGCCTTTGTTAAAAGTGAAATTGTATTTCCATTATATTTATTAAATGTTAACGTCTTGTGTATAAATGATTGGTCTAGGGGTTTAGTACCACAGAATGGGCAGGGAAGTTTGTAAATATTTACTGAGAGCTAGACTAGCACATTAATTCTGGTATTTTAATGGGATTTGTGGACAATAACATCTAGATTATCACCAGCCTCATCCTTTCCTCACCTCAGGCAGTTCAAACAGTTCAGGTGGAATGCAATATCAGTTTTGTTTCATAGTGTGCCACATTAAGCCTCATAGTCCTTTTCTATCACTTCTGCTACAGTCTTCTCAAGGTTTCTGATAGCTCTCTCAGCCTTGATCTGCTCTGTCTACATGATGATCTGTATCAATCTCTTGCTCTCTGCCTTCACTCATCCCTCTCACCCTCCTTAATCTCTCCTTGACTCTACCCTCTATCTTTTAACCATCTGCCTTCCTGAAGTAGAACACTGACTGAAGGACTGAGTGTTTGGATTTAGTTCACCTTGGAGCACTAGCACTATATCAAAGTAACGGAAAGCACCTTGGAAACATTGAATAAATACTGAAGACAAGAGGTGAAGTTACTGCCAGTCCTCTGATGCTTTGCCAAAAACTTACTTTATAGGCTTAAATCTCCTTCCTCCATTATTATTTAATTTCCTGATCATGGTAACACCTGCCACTACTTTTAATTTCCCCTACCTTCCTGCCTTTCTGCTTTGTCCTCTGCTCTGCTCCTCCTGCTGTCTCAACCCTCTCTGGACTCAGTTCATAACTCACATCTCACTTAATTATTCTTCCTGTCTCTGCCCCTTTCAGCTCTCCTCTGCCACACTTCTGTCGCTCTGCTCTTCTTTGTCATATTGCCATTCCATCCATTTCTGCTCTTTCCAAATGTTGTGAGCATTTCACATTCAGCAGAGAAAAATCACACAGAATACAAAGAAAGACAACCACATACAATGAACATGGTCTTTGTGCAGGAACGTGGGCAGCCAGTGGGCTCTGGAGCAGGCGAAATACAACCTGGTGAATGAATACATGCTGGTTGGAGTAACAGAAGAGCTGGAGGATTTTGTCATGATGCTGGAGGCTGCGCTGCCACGCTTCTTCAGAGGAGCCACTGAGCTGTACAAAACAGGTGCCATGTCTGCTAAATACTAACAAAACATTTGCTCTTGCCCTATATGTTCTGGTTCCCCTCACTAATATTGTACTGAAAAGCAGCCCATTGGCTCAGTCACATAGCAAAGCTGAAGTGTGTGTGTGTGTGTGTGTGTGTGTGTGTGTGTGTGTGTGTGTGTGTGTGTGTGTGTGTGTGTGTGTGTGCGCGCGTGTGTGTGCGCGCGCATGTGCGTGTGCATATAAGCATGACTGAATTGTCATCAATATGCAGTCGTGCCTCTCTGCTTTAGATACAGATTAGTTACAATGAGTGCAGCCAGAATAAGTAATGGATAGAAAAGAATGACCTGGATGACCAAGAACTTTAACAGACAGACAGAAAAGAAGAATTCAATCATAATAATATATGTAGACGGACTATGATTCAAGTATGATGTTCATAATTTTTAGTAGCAGATAAACCCAAGTACTTAAAATAATCAGGTATGTTTTTAATGAATTTGAAGACTGAGTCTCAGTTTCAGGGGTCAAGTAGTGTCTTGTTAACCCCAGACAAAACACATCACATTGACTTATAGCAATAGTTTGACATGTGTGTTCGCTGAGAATTGGAAAAAGATTGATACCACTCTAATATCTGTATGGTAGGTAGACAGCTAGTCAGGTGACATTTAGCTTAATTTAGCATAAAGGCTGGAAACAGGGCGAAACGGGTAGCCTGGCTCTGGTAACAAAATCCACAAACCAATACCTCTAAAGTTCACTGATGAACATGTTACATCTTGTTTGTTTATTTTGTTTTGCAAAGGAGTGGGATTTCTTCGCCAGGTGCAGTATCTTCTCAGCCGGTTGCCTGGCAACTGCACAGCAACAACAAAACTGAATAATTTCACCCAAGAACCTCAACCAAGAAATCGTCTGGCAAATAACCCTCTGTAAAACCGCAACTTGATGTTTTTACACTTTGGTTTTTATTCGGATTAAAGAAAAAACATGTAATGCATTAATTAGTGAGCTTTAGAGATGCTGGTAGGTGGATTTTGCTAGCTTTGATTAGAACAAGGTTAGCTGTGTCCCCCTGTGTCCTGTGTTTGTGGTGGATGTCATCAATCTTCACAACTAATTTTCAACAGGAAAGTGTAGATTTCAAAAGATACCAAACATAAGGGATGTGACATTTAATGCACTTTGAATTTATTCGCTGTTTTTGTAAAGAGAAATGACTTTGAGCCTAAAATTGAAAAAAAAAAAAAAACTAACTAACTATAACTGTTTTTCGAGAGTGCCAGTGACCTTTTCAAAAATGAGTTACAAAAATAAAGACTCAAGCAAAATGGAATTGTAATACTGTCCTCAGTAATGTTAAACCTATTTTATCATATATATGTAAATGCATGATGTATCCAGACACCTTTAATACCCTTCTCCCGTCATCACAGGGAAGAAATCCCACCTGAGGAAGACCAGCGAGAAGAAGCCGCCCACAAAGGAGTCGATTGCCAAGCTGCAGCAGTCGGCCATCTGGAAGATGGAGAACGAGTTCTATGAGTTTGCACTGGAGCAGTTCCAGTTCGTCAGGGCACATGCTGTCAGGGAAAAGGACGGAGAACTCTACCTGCTGGCGCAAAACTTCTTCTATGAGAAAATCTACCCCAAAAACTGAGCATTAAGAGACACATGTCAATAGAAGAGTTTGGAGTGTTATGGAGAAGGACGGACACTTTGTACAGGCTCAGATGTTCAGTCTGAGACTAAAAAAAGAAGGAAAGTGAGGGTGAATGTAATAGACTACTGCTGACTGTGCGGCTGGTTTGTTCGTGTGATTGAGAACATAATGTGGAGCTGCAGAACAATCTGCCTCTGACGCAGCAATCAGACTGGTGACAGCTCTGGTATTCTGTGCCAGCCAACTGGATGAAGAGCTTGTGTTTCCTCAGCAGGTTGCAGTCCCAGCAGCTCCGGGCCCTCCGCTCCCTTTCACTTCCATGTCAAAGGTCGTCTGTGCAGAAGGCCTCTGCTGGGATGTGGTCGGATACGTCCTCTCCATCAGCTGATCAGACCTCTAACTCCTGATTGGCTTCACTATTCTCTGATCCAGACAAAACATTTTCATTGGCTCTGTACTGTTTGGTTGTGTTTTGTTGTATTTTAACTCTTTACTATGGTTGTCTTTTGTATGTAAAGTATGTACGGTGACATTTTTCATGGTGAAACAACATCCCCATGCCTCACCACCACTACTAACTTAAAGAGATTTTAATTGTAAGAAACTGACTACTGTGCTGTATTATTGGACTTGAATGAGAACTTTTGAGGCTTTTATGAAATAAAAATCCTGTGACCATGGACTACTTACTGGGGCAAGTGCGTATGTTTTATACTGTACTTGATGTCTTTTGTTGGATGACTCTTGTTAATGTGCAGCTTTGCCCAGAGCCTTTTACTGGGCAATGTAGGAAACTTTTCCACGTGATATTATTGGATTGTGTAAGAACACTATGGTGAAGATGCTGCTGCTGTAAATATTTACTATCTTTTCAGGCCATTTCATTTCAAAGCAGATTTTTTCAGTACAATATTAACCATTTTTTTTTCGATAACAATGGGCATTTTGTCAGTTTGTAAATTTCTTTCAGCTCTTTCATTACACTTTTTGCTTGCATTTTATTTTGTGATATGTTTTTGTTTCATTGTAGAACCACATAAACACAACTGTCCACTAATGTTTCTCTGCTGCTTAAAAGATTAGTCTGACATTTTGGGAAGTATGCGTCTTTGCTTGCTCAGAGTTAAATGAGAAATTCGATACTACCACCCATATTAGTCTGTTAAATACAAGATTACAGCCATGAAATGTTTAACTAACAGGCTGCAGCATTATATTTAACAAACTGATTCTCTCACTCTCACTCATCAGTCTTTTCATCTAACTCTCAACGAGAAACCGAATATCTGCATTCCCTAAAATGTCAAACTATTCCTTTAAATCTCTGCTGTTTTCTTTGCAGTTGTCCACATACAAGATGTTAGAGAGGTTGGTAATAACTTTGCTAAGTAGCTTTTCCTCTCTGGTTTTCTTGAAGTTGGTTTTATTTTATTTGTAACGGCCTTTCTTGGCCTATTGAAGTTCTTGTCTTGTGTTGATAAATTGCTAACCAAGAGTTCGAAAAGTCACCTCTGTCTTACCAAGACCCCACGATCACACCAGTTTCTGTGTGTATTTACATACACAGATGAAAAATTGTCATCTGAGGACATACTGTAGTTGACCGCTCAGTTTTTGTGTGCCTTCTCTACATCCAGTTCTACTTGTGTTGCAGCTTTGTCAGATGGAACATAAAAACAACATGGCTGTCATGGCTGTTTTCATCTTTTGATTGCCAAACAAATATACAGAACATTTAAAAAAAAAAAAATGCATGTGTGTTTCTTAATTCGATGCAAATGTTTGCCCGTCATCATCACCAGGTACAACGGAGCAGGGAGAGTTTAAGACAGATAAAGCTGCTACTGTGAAAATTACAGATGGATTATTTCAGGACTTGTATCCTGCAGAGGGAGATAAAGAGCTGCCAGGTCTGCTCCTACCACTGACTGTGTGTGTGTGTGTGTGTGTGTTTATCCATTTCCACATCCCTTCCTCTCCTTATCCTCCTATAGTATCTTTTCAGTATTTGATACAGTGATTGCAGTTAGATAAGTATGTTGATGCCATACATTTACAACTTAAAAGCACATGATGTATAAACGGTATATTCTCTTGTTGTAGTCAGTATCTTGCAGCTGAAGAAAATAAATGGAGAGTACTACAGTAGGAGTGTGGCAGTAAAGTGAGAGGAGTCACCAGAGGCCAGAGGAGAAAGTTTATATGAGCAAGTGCTGCCACTCAGTGTTACTCATCCTTGCTCTCAGAAAATCCCTGGACAGTCATCAGCTATTGGACTCATCCTCATTAATCTCAAATCGTTCTCCAGTTACAGCTTCTTGGTTTTTGGCCCCCTGATCCAGATAAAGTTATACAGTTTCAACAAGTACTCAATTACAGTATAAAAAACAGTAAGCCTGTGGATCCTTTCAGTACTGTGTGGTGGTTGTCAAGACTTACATTCAGATAAATCCCACATTTTTTAAGTTGCTTTTTTTCTTCACTTGGATGTTTGACCTTGACAGTGCAGCATGATGAATCTGCTCAGTGTGACACTTTCATATTCACCTGCTGAAGGGGGGGGGGGGTCTATATGTTCACCTTAATTCTGAGATGGATGTATGAGAATGATGTGACATCACAGATGGGTTTAAGGCCAGAAGTGATTGAGTATAAGGTCATTTATCTTTCTTTCATGTCTTAAAACATGTTTGGAGGAGATCGTTAACACAGACATGTCCTTTATTAGACAGTAAAGTACAGGGGAGAGCTTACAAGAGATGGAGTAGGTGTTACCTAAAATATGTTACCTATTTAATAACAACAAAAAATGGCCCTATTATATTCTGATATTAGATACAGCCAGGGTCCCAGATTGTGAACTGTAGTGTATAGGTCTGTCTGTGCAACACTAGCACCTCACTGATCAATATTGGGTCAAACCTTAGCGTCAGATTACCATACATCGCAATCACAGCTATTTGTGTCTCTTTGTAAATACTATGAGAGCAGCATTTTGAATAGCATCTGCTGAAATACAGTATGTGATAAAGTTGTATGAACACATCTGCAGTGGCAACGTGTCTGAAATTTCTAATCAGATCACAAAATCTGATGTTTGGCAGAATTTGGTAAAACACTGGAGTTAAACCAGCATAGCGAGGTAATCCTAGACTACCAGCATGGCCCTAAACCACACGCTTTTACCAAAAATATATTATATAATTATGCATTAGTACCTAATACTTATGTAGTATTCATACTATTAATCAGAGCAATAATCCTCATTTTTATTGTAAAATAGGTACAGTGTTTATTCAACTGTAGAAGCAGGGCAGGGAAAAAAGAGCAGAACAATACAGACATGTATGTTCCTGATAAAGACAGATATTACCAGATTCTAATTAACCTGCTAGAACATATGAAGGTCAGAACCATCACCTCCTGTCTGGAGCACCTGTACTCAGTCAGCTTCTGGAAAACGTCACCGTGGAGACAGAAAGACAAAGTACAGCTCTGTGGACTTTAACAGGAACACATAATTCATAAGTTTATCCAACAAGGCCTCTGCCACTTTTATGTGGACAGTGCTCAGTTCAGGAATGTGGAGCCAGTGTTGTCCACAACGATAAATATTTGAGCCATTGCGCCATAAGCACAGAGTGCCCAGTCTCTGAGACATATGGCCTGTGATGACTGTGTCCCTGTGGGTTATGTAATGCAGCAGTAAGTCTTCTCACTTAGGTGTGACATGTCATGCACTGGCCCCATTGGAGAAGAGTTAAGTGTTTTCCCTGTGGCTTCTTCCTAACAGCTTTTCCTGATCTATCTGGCTTGGCAACTCAAAAGTAAACTGTGACTCTTATTTAGTATGGCAGCTTATGTTTGCTGTGCAGCTCTTGTTGTCAGCAAGTTTCTACAGCACCTGCATGATCCTCTTGATTTGAATTATACTTTCTTACAGTTTCATGATCAGTACTAAATTGTTAAAAGTCTTCCTGAGATACAGTCTTTTGCAAAGTCACTACAAGTACTCCGGTACTGTTTTGAAGTACTTGTAAACTCTACATTGTGTTACTAATGAATTTCAGAGGCAAATATTGTAGGCTACTTATTCCACTACATTTATTTCCCATTTGAATTTACTGGTAGAAAATATATGAGCAATTTATAATTATGAATTCATAGATTTGACAAATTAAGGTGATGGCGAGCACTGATGTTGGGGCTTGCAGACAAATTTCTAATAGGAAGTCTGCATTACAAACTGAGGGGCACTGAGCTGGTATGGTGTGGGCATTTACCAGATGAAAAGATGCTGGGTGGATTATGGGAAATGTAGGATCTAGCAATCCTGGAGCTGAACCCTCACTTGGGACGTGCAGTCAGGATATCACAGCCTCTGCTGCTTTGATTTTTAATGTTCTAATCTCCCCCAACCTTATGTTGCTGGACCACCCTTTAAAATGCTGTTTACATGGCTTATACTTTGGCATCCGTAATAATAACCCAACAATATCACACTCTGAAAGGGGGTGGTCAGTCTATTCAAACAGATTTGAATAGAATATGTTTATTGTTTTTTATTTTGTGATACTTCTACTCCACCACATTTCAGAGGGAAAGGGATTTTTTTTACTTTACTGCATTTACTGTATCTGAAAATTATGAACATATGATAAGAAAACATATGATCCATTCATAAAATATCATGCATTGTTATAGATCAAACTATCCAACAGTCTGCAGATAAAGGTTTTATCCACATTGACAAACTAAAACATTAAAATCATGAAAATGCATCAAAAATATCTAAATAATACAATATATATAAATATAAAGCCTTTTGCTATGGCCATTTTGCATAATGGGTACTTTTCCTTTTAATACTTTATTTATATTTTGCAGATTATAATTCTGTATTTTTACTTAGTTAACATTTCTACTTTTATTTGTCATTAAGTATTTTTTACAATGTGGTGTTGTTACTTTTACTTAAGTGAAGGATCTTCTTCCATCAGCGCTAGAGCCATTCAATATAATGCATACTTTTACTTTTAAAGCTTAAATTACACTTTACTGTTTATACGGTACTGCTTCTTTGAGGGGACTTTTACATGTTATGAAATACCTTTGCACTGAAGCATGTTCATAAAGGATACTCAATACTTCTTCCACCACTGATAAACGAACACATCTCTATTAAGTTGTATAGGATTTCTTTGCCCGCACATACACATGGACATATTTTAGCCTCAGTCTGACGCACCTCTGACACATGTTTTTTTTTTTGTTTTTTTTTCTCCATGTTTGTGTTTACCACCTATGATTTCAGGTTACTAGCATGAGGTAAGGCCAGCCTGCATGAAGTTTTGGTCACATGTGTGCTAACTGTCCCGGCTGAGAGCAGCCCAGCGGCGGCAGCAGCAGCAGCAGCAGCACTACAGCTCCTCTGGGCGGACGCTTCCACTGTAACCACCGCCTCTTTCTCCAACTGCACTGGGACAGATTTATGCTTCAGCTTTTTATTTATGAGCACCAGTCCACCCTCCAGGACCCCTCTAGGACGGTGTGACCGCGTAAAACAAGTGTGAAGACGACATGGGAAGCCCCATGTGCCCGAGATGACCGACGGTTTGGTCAAAATAATCACGTCTTTTTGTCGCCAGAGAGGGAAACTTAAAACAAGGCTTGTTTTTGGAGTTCCACCTCCCCTCCTCTCTCCCCGTAGGATTTGATTCAAAGGCGAAAACCAAGATGGCCGCCGATTCCGTGCAGGTAGGAAAAGTTGACAACTGTTGGGAAAAGTGCGCAAACTTGCTCAAGAGGTTCAGCTATAAGTTAGCATAAAGTTTTATTTCATTAAAGTGGAGTCGCTACGAGTGTGTAGCGTTGAATTTAAGTGAAGGGCCTTTGCTAGTTCCCAAAGGGTTGTCTGGGAATTATCCATGGATTGAGGCCTGGGAAACAATTATCCAAACTAACTTATCCCTAAATATACAAGTTTCAAACCGGTGATTTTGTGCAGAGGCTGCTGTGTTAATTAACGTTGCCGCCATTGTTCGAAACGTTTTTAACGTCACTGTTGCTTTAGTTCATGTCAAATAAAGGTTGTTGGACGTTAAACGTACAGGTCTGTAGCCTAACGTAGAGTTAACCTGCGTTATAGCTGGAAAATAAACGTTGTCTTCCGTGTATTCTCATACCGGATTATTTTTCAGTTTTATCATGTGCAATAGTAATGTGAATACAGTGAGAAATATTGTAGTAAAGAGCAAGTGTTCACTGGTTTGCTTGACGTAAAGTTTTTTCAAACACGTTACAGACCGGATGAACTTAAAACATGTCACTATTAATGCAACAGAAGTCAGAAAACGTATAGTTTAACTTGGAAATGCACTTTATATATTTATATTTTAAAAGAGGAGTAAGTGAAAGGAAGCATTACAGTCATGTCTCATTATTGTCTATGGACAGTCATGACTCATTGATTAATGTGGTTTCACTTGAGTGACGTCAGACCTGAAGTAAATCTTTCTGACTAAAAATATTGTCCAAGTGTTTCAGCTCATCCAAAACTTTATCTAATCACATTTGAGGTACAGTCAAGCGTTGCTTTTGCAGTATCGTCTAAAATCCACTCTAAGGCTAAGACCAGTCTGATTACTCACAGTATGATTCATCTTCACTGAGAGCATGGAGGGGCGGGTGGAGGTAACAGCAGATAACAAAGCTGACACTGATTGAAAATGAAGTATTTTATTTATATGTTTCCTGGGGCTGGTGCAGACCGAAACTTCTCGCAGAGGCAACAGGTGGGGATGTCCTGTTTTCAAGTCAATGATGCTGTGTCTGGACCAGATTAATCTTAAAATGGCTCATTACACTTAATGTTAACATTCATTTTAGTCACTCATCAAAGGTGTTTGCTCTATTGCTTTATCAGTGACATGTATGGATGACCCAGCCTGAAGAACAATATTCTCTGCCTTTGGTTTATAAAATTAAATTGTCACAGTAGCCCCATATTAAACAGTAATGGTATCTAACCCTTCAGCAGGTGTCGGCTAGACCACCTGTTTCCTACTGAGTATGAAAACAGAAATAGATAAAGACGTCCTTTATTTGAGATCTCACCACAGAAGTGGAGGATAATAATTTTTATTTTGCAACTAAAGATGGCTGATATGGTTGACATCACAATTAATTGAAAATCATGACATGATTTCACCAAAATTAAAGATAGAAAATGATTCATGATTCATGACTCAGCCCTGATCACAATAACTAGAAGAGCTTCCAACAACAGCTTACCTCTATTACAATATTTATTTAGGTGCAAAAAAGGATAATTTATTAGTTACGTGCTTTTATATTGACAGATACAAATGACTAGACTAATATTACATTTAGTGTATATAGTATGACCTAATTTACAGTGCTGGTATAGTATTCCCAATGAGATTGTATATATTTTTATTAGGACTTACTTTATTAGGACTTGAAGTCACTATTAAAAGATGTGTCTATGTTTAGCTACGATAGACCAAGCAAGCTAAACTTTAACATATATCACTGTGGTTGTTTATGTTTAGTGGAACCAGCTCAGCTCAGCAGAGCAACAGGTGCTTCAGTGCAGTTTATTGCTTGCGGTCTAAAATCTATTCTCTGTCCAGCTCAGACATGACCATTAACATTGACCTGAGGTACAAGACATTGTCTACAGTTGGACTTGGCATGGGATATATGTAAGGCTCATGTGAAAGCTGCATTTGTAGTATCTACGTTTATTAGCCTGTGTGGCTATTTCTGGTCGCAGCAGAGCACCAGGCTGTGGCCATTGCTCTGCAGCCAGCTGTGGGGTAAGATGACTGGGTGTCAGGTTGTAGATAGGCCTTGTGCAGAAATGGCAAGGGCTTGGCTTTTTTAAGCATGAGCCTGGATAGTGGCCTCAACTTTTCCATTGTCCTATTGTCTGAATGGAGCTCTTGTTATTGGACTTGGAGCTTTCAGGCTTAAACAGTAAGTTAACCTGCTTACATTTGAGGTTCAGCCCTAATGTTTGCTTTTACTTCACAGTTTCCTTTCACATCTTAGGCACTAAAAAAGCTTTTTGAGAAGTTCAACATATGTAGGTAACAGCTGCCTTACCTTTGTAAGAATATTATCACCTGACTTATTAAATACTAATCTTAGATTGCAGTCTGCATGTCTGCTATAGCTATAAATTAAATCGTTTTTATTTTGTAGAGAGGAACAGTCCCTATTTTATCTAATTTATAAATTAAGTACCCCCTCTGTTTTTTGTAATATTGAACATGTGTAGCTAAAATGTTTTTGAGTCTTTTCGTATGTTGTGAGCCTTGAACATTACACAGAGCAGCTAGCAGAGCCACACTGACAAGAACAAGTTCCCTCCATCCATCATAAACTGTTTGCATTGTGCTGTGAGTGGAAACGTTTGCTTACAATTCAAGCTTCACTTGTCTTTGAACCTAATAAGTCTTGAGTCTCCGGTGTGGCGTCATTCCCCTGACTAGGCAATACACTGAAGCAGAAAGAAATGATAAGGCTGTGCAGGTGAAAGAGCAACTCAAGGAAGTATTGCAGTTCCAGAGAAACCAGAGGTGAAACCAATCCTGCAAATGAGCTCCTGCTCTCTGTCTTTGAATATAGTTTCTTTGTTTGATCTCAAATTAAAATGCAGGCCTTGTGGGTCTACTAGCTGATTTATTTCCACCTTATCTGATTGGCCTTTCATGGATTTCCTTGCATTGTTGCACAGTGAAATAGGCCCTTTTGGGTGTCCTCATGCTGTCCTCATACCACAGTGGGCAAACACAGTTACAGTGCAAACAAGTTTTGCAGGGCAGTGAGCTGAAGAAGAGAGCTGTTTTTTCCCTCACACACCATTCTTCCACTTTCAGGAGCTGTGACCTCCATTTTACCTATGAGTCATCAAGGAGCTTCTGGACAAGGATATGTGCAAACTATAGCTTCGTCTGAAGTGAGCACCTATAGAGAGGAGAGTGGGGGGTTTTACAAGAGCTGTGTGAGGGATTGACTGAGCCGATTGAAATCTCTTATCTTGGCAAATATGTAATTTCCCAGCATAAATCTATCAATCGGAATTAGCCGAGGTAGTAATCCACCAAATCCTGACTCACCTTGTCTTATGATCAATTAATGGACAGAGGTCTAAATTATAGCCACAACAAAATATGATGAACTTGCTGTGTGAAAATATGGCCCCTTCTCTTGGAGAGGAGGTGGAGGTAGTTTTTGAGAGAGGCAAGGTGGCCGACCTCTGAAAAAGGCCTGGATGCTGTGTGAAACTGTAGCATGAACAAAGGGCAATGCGGCCTATATGGTGCTCTGCTGGCTTGTATCTTACAGTGATAACCTTGCTGCGTGAACTCCAGAGGAGATCTCAGGGTTTTTGTTTTCACAAGTCAATTAAAAAGCACCATCATCAGACTGAATTATCTGCATCGAGACTTGAACTCTATTCCTTACTTTACTTTGGACCTTCTTGTAGTTGTTGGGGTGTCGTTTTAGAGCTTCTCTTCTTTTTCCTCTAACACACAGGTTGCTTTCCAGGGGGGAGGCCACAATGGACAGCCAGTGTTGTGTTTTTAACTTGAGTTAATTTTAGACTCAGTCCTCTCCCTGGAGTGAGATTAGGTCCCATTCTGGGCTGCTCTGACCTCACTGGGTGAGAAGCTAAGAGGGATTTGGCTGTTGCTGCTCAGACGGTTTATCTTCCCTGTTGATGTCAATGGTCTGTGCGAGAGAGAAAGCGCAAAATGAGAGAGCCGGAGAAAATCAGATACTAGCGAAGTGAATGAGCGTGGCTTTTGATAGGAGCATCTGTCAGCTATGGTGTAGCTTAACCTTTGTGATGGAGGATATCATTGCTTCTACCAGACAACAGAACTTCAGTGGAGTTCGTGCGCTCATAGTTTAGCTGGTCAGCAGAACATGCGTGGATTGGTTTGTTCAACTGATCTAGAGATGGAGTTGGACGAAACCGATGAAGTTATGGTAAGGCAGAAAAATTAGTAAAGGCTAGAAGTTTTGTCTTGTTGCATCAGTCCACCTTTGTACCTTTTTAGTCAGTTGTGATTTTAACATTAAATGGAAGCAAATTGCATGAAGCCTAAATATAGATACGTGAATGAGAATGTGTGTTTTACTTCCTTTATAACACAATCACGATGGGTTAAATGCAATAAGACACAGATCTCGTGGTAGTCACAGTGTAGCGATGTTGTTTTTCACATTTCATTATACCCTCTTTTTATGAATGGAATAAGTTAATCTTCACATAGTTACAGCGAAGTTGGCACAGTTTCAGAGACTGTCAGAGTGCAATGAGCTTTGTTTTATCTTTTGCATTGTACGCATTGAGTTTATTTGTTATCTGGAGTGCCATAAACTCTGATTTGATTGTTTACACACATTTTTCCTAAATATCAAACGTCATGGGTGTTTGATAACTATGTGTGTGTGTAACTCATTGAGCAATTATAATTTTACTAAAGCAAGGGCAGGCTTTATGTTATGGTTTGTAATTTGGTTTGTTTAAGCTATGATGATTAATGTTGGTCTTTCATAGTTGTAACCATGTAACAAAATGAAAACTTTTTAAATGAAAAAATGAGAAGATATTTTCAAACCAAGGAACTGAGATTGATGAACTGTGTAATGAATTGAACAAAGTGATTATTCACAGTCCTCAGATAGTCACAAATGTATTCTCTGATCAACTAGTGAAGCGTCACCAGCGCACCACTGTATTCATGATGACCTTTGAAGCTGAAGCCATTCAGGAAGTGACTTCTAATCCCTCTTTAGTTAAGGTGAGGGCTTTAAGGATGCGGGTCAATGGTGACTGACAGCAGCAGTGAAAACGCCACGTACAGAGGCTCGCTCAAGTTCAAAATACACCACGACACTGGGTTGACTTCAGGGTTCCCAGGTTGGGCAGCCTCACAGGTTATTGTCACTGCATTTCAGTCATAACTTTAGATTCTTTTCTAAATACATTCACTAAAAAACTTGTCAGTTGAAAAATGTTATTGATCACCTGGTGATGAGGATCAGATCACACAGGTTTTACATGACATTCACATGTTATTATGAGAAACTCAGTGACCCCTGGGATGAAACTGTCTGTAACTCTTCCTCTGTTGTTATCACTTCTTTACTGCTGTCTTTACAGCTGGGCTCATGAGAAATCCATGCTTTTTATGAAGCAATAGCTGTTTTGAAACATTGCAAGTTGGTGCGGGGCTTTTTGTTTTTTCCTTGACAGTTTAAGTTGATTTGATGTTGAATTTCTGTTGGTTAAATGCTGCTCAAAACATGCCAGGGTGCAAAGTGTTTGTTGACTGATTCACTGACCTCTGTGTGTCCTCTCCTCCTCTTTCTCTGGCATCCCATTTTACTCTTCCTCCTTATTCTCCTCCCTCACTGACCTCTAAATTACATTCCACATCTTCCTCTTATCTCCTCTTTTTCCTCCTCCTCCTCCTCTTCCTCTCCTATCCTCCAGGGGGATGCCAGGGGCCAGATGGTGGCAGAGCGACTGGGTCTGGGACACAACCTGGACCTTTCCGACACCATGGTGCAACAGAAGCTGGACGAGATCAAGGAGCAGATCCGCCGTGAGATCCGCAAGGAGCTGAAAATCAAAGAAGGTGCAGAGAATCTGCGCAAGGTAATATCACATATTCTGCTTTACAGTAGACGGTCTTTCTCTCCAAGGGGTACTGCTTGCTCAACAGAGGGTGACTAAAACAAAAATGAACAAAATGAAAGCAGCAGAGGATAAGTCTGCTGTTCTTTAGAGCAGCAGCACAGGTCAGGCTTTAAAAACACTCAGCTACTCTCTCATAATGCAACCAGTAACATCATTTCATTAGATAAATGCCCATGTCTTTCAAATTCCATGCTGCCAGTTTGTAGTCTTCAAGGCCAAACTGATAGTCATGACAAAGCTCCTCCAGAATCTCAGAAAACATTACAACTGTTTGCACTGACTCAGTAATCATCCCCATGACTAATAAACTGATTTTTATGATTACAATTGGTTGAATTTCCTTGTAAATCTTTGTCATTAGAAAAAATTGTGTAAAGTCTTTCTCAAGTGCGCCCCACTCTCTCCTCTCTCCTCAGGTCACCACAGACAAGAAGAGCCTGGCTTATGTCGACAACATGCTGAAAAAATCTAATAAGAAGGTTGAGGAGCTTCACCAGGAGCTGCAAGAGCTCAACGCCCACATTGTGGTCAAAGACCCTGAAGAACTGCTAGGTAACAACAGTGTCACTGTGGTGCTACAGCCCCAGAGGATTTACTAAACATTAACCAGTAGTAAAGACAGCTGACATAAACTAACGCCGCATTATCTAGTGTTTCCCACAGACTTAGATCCTTCTTGCGGCAGTAGCTGACCAGGGGTGTGGTGGGACTTTCTTAAATGACTTATTAAATATTACCGTGTATAAGGTGCTCCACTGCAAATAATGCCCAAGCACATTGTGAGAAATAAATGACCAAACAGCTCCATTGCTTCACGTTGTGTCAAACAAATAACAACCCTCACATACTTGGGTCAGGCTGGTGAGGGTCGATTACATATTGTGAGTGGCCAGTGAGCCCAGTGCCGCCACACGTGCTTGCTCCCAATGGCCGGTCTGACTATGACAGATGGGTCCGTTGTCAAGGTGTTAATGTGTTTGAGAGGGAGAGGGAGGGAGAGAGACAGAGAGAGAGTGTGAGGGAGAGGGAGACAGAGAGAGAGAGAGGGAGGGAGGGAGGGAGTGTGTGAGAGAGACAGAGAGAGAGTGTGTGGGGGAGAGAGAGAGAGAGAGAGACAGGGAGAGGGAGACAGAGAGAGAGAGAGGGAGGGAGGGAGGGAGTGTGTGAGAGAGACAGAGAGAGAGTGTGTGGGGGAGAGAGAGGGAGGGACGGATAGAGTGAGAGACAGGGAGAGGGAGGGAGACAGACAGAGAGAGAGAGAGAGGGAGGGAGGGAGAGAGAGAGAAGGAGGGAGAGAGAAGGCGGGGCTGAGCAAATCAATGCTGTATAGCTCGACAATGAAATAAGTTTTTATCTATGTGAAATATAAAAAAAAAAAGTAGAAAATCAATATGTGGCGACACTGACATTGTGTTGGGCCACTACAAATAAATCAATGTATGGGAAACACTGCTGTGCCCTGCTTCTGTACAAATGTAACATTGTTGTAAACCATGTACCTTGACTTCTGTATTAGAGCAGGGGGTCGTAAGGTTAGTTGCACATTAGAAAAGATTAGTCAATTAATTAGTAGATTGACAAAAAACAAAAAAAACAACCAAACACATCGTGGTTTCAGCTTTACAATTATTAGAATTTACCAGTTTTCTTTGTGAGTGTTGGACAAGAGTGTTTCTCCATACAGTGAATCTCACTGACAATTGTAATCCAGTCCTGGGTCGGCGGGTTTGCCTGCAGCCGTTTCCATGTGATGACTCTCTTGCTGACGGCCAGATGTATTTTAAATTTCAACCCTCATCATGAGCCTTGAGTTTATCGCTGATTTTGCGCAGGTGCAATGTCACAAAAGAGCACTCAACTTCTTTAGCAATCTTTAGCAATCTCCTGCAAACTGTAAAGTATCACTGAGTAAATAATTTTGGCAGTGTTGTGTTAGAACAACACCTATATAAACACGCGTACACAAACACACAGAGCACATTGAGGGTTTGGAGGTGACTCACTCTCCAGAGGCTGACATTGTTGCATTCCACATTCCACCGACAGTTACAATGAGCTGTCGATTGTTCCCCTCCGAGGCCGCTGAAAGCCCGCTCCTGTGCGTTTGTCCACAACAATGGAATTTGGTAGAGAATCGACCACAACAGCGCTGTGCGTTCAGCGTGGTTTTGTTACAGTAGTTGCCCTATGGAGTCTTTGTTGGTGGCGAGTGTCTGGGTGAATTCAGGAAGAGATGGAATGGTATTTGTCTGCCTGTTACCACCACATCCCCCACTACAGTTGACATTAGGAAGTAGATGAGGAGGGGGGTGTGTGTGTGTTGGGGGACTGAAGGGAGGTTGTATCGGTAAATGGTTATCTTAAGTGGGAACAAATTTAGCCTGACTCGGTGACCCTGTATCTGATGAACGAGGGCTTTCTTTTTAAGTGACGAGACGCCAGCGGAATGTCGCTGGCCATCGCAAAATGATGGAGAGGGACTGAGTGCAGCTCAGCTCCTCAGTCATGAGACGACTTCCAACTTCTTGAAATACGTTCAGCTCTTGAATCCGCGAGAGACAGCACTTGTTTCCTGAATCAGTAGGAAGGACTTGCTCTGCCTCTGCAAACAGCCAGAATGTGTTTTTGTTCCAGGAGAAAGTTGAGGGGGCTCTGGTTATACTCCGCCGCTCAGCTGAGGCTAGGAATGGACCGACTCGGTCTCAGGCGCTGTCTGGGAGCAGCAGCGGCAGTTCTGACGCAGGGTCACCAGTCAGGTCTCTCTGTCACATATAATCTCAGAAGTTAACTCCCTGAATATAAGTCCAGTCAGTTTTCTTTCCAGCCATCACATCACGTCCCAAGAGACAATTACCCAGGTCAGTTTTAGTTCCAGTTTTCTAAATCATGATGTAATTGTTTAGAGAGTATTGTTAGCATGTTTCACATCAGATACAGATGGGGTTAATCTGAGGGAGGGTTCCCCTTGTCAGCTGTCCAGCAGTGACATCAGCCCTGCAGCTATTCGGTAGCTCGCTGTCTTGTCCTCCGGCCCAGCGTGGGCTGAGCCGTGTTCGGAAGGAGGGGAGGGTGGTAGGGGTCCTCAAATTCTTGGCTCGCCGTGACCTTGACCAAACCACTTCCCCACACAGAGAGGAAAGCCCCGAACCTAGACTGGATGACATACGCAGCACTTTTGTACGTGTGTTTTTACGCATGCTTTTGTCATTTCCACTAACAGCTTCCACATGATACTAGAGACCCTCATTACGCAGTTTTGCAACCAAGCTCCTGTTAAATTCTCACCTTGCTCCTCAGACTTTTGTGGTTTGGATGAGAATCTTTAAGTGCACACTTTTTTCCTGTCTTGCCCTGCCTCTGTGTGTGCGTGTGTGTGTGTGTGTGTGTGTGTGTCTCTATGGGTTAGAGGGTTGCCCCAGAAAGCCTAATATCCTCTGCTACTGCCAGTTAACAGAAATCTCTGCAGTGATGCTCCCTCAGCTTATTAAGGGTCATTAGATGAATCATTTTGACTTTCAGTTCAAAGAATCACATGCTCTCTTTTTGCTCGTCTCCCGCAGGTGTTCAAAAGAATCATTAGACGGTGTTTTGATGAAACATTCAAAGTGAATGAATCACACACTTGCCTGCTGGTTATTGTTATCTGTTTGGCAGCGTCTGCAAGAGTAACTCATGTTGCCAGTCAAGCTCACTTAAGTGGACTCAAGACACCTTCAAAAATATGAGATTTATTTTTATGTCTTGGAGAATTTGTTACATCATTTGTCATTTTGTGACTTCGAGGCTCTAAAAGAAGAGAATTGAGCTAAAAAAAAAAGGTTTCATTATGTACATAATGTATTCCCTAGGTCCTAATGAGAAATTGCCGTTGTGTTTTGAATGTGGCACATTTTTTAAAGTTTCTTCTTTGGGTCCTTTCTAAGAGGAGCTCCTTTATGACAGCACAGGCCCTGAAACTCAACTTGCAAGTCAAGTCAGGAGAAGTCAGGCAGGTTTTTTTGCCCACCTCACAAGTGTGTGTCTGTGGGAATGTTTTGCTTTGTGCTGTAGTGATCAATCTGGGGAGGGGTTTACTCTGCAGTTTTCGAGTTCAGACATGACCAAAAAAAAAACAAAAAAACAAAAAATAATGCAGTGAGCTTTTCCCGCAAAACTGTTGGTGGAAGACACTTGTTTTCATTTTCTCTTTGTGTGTCTGTACAGTCTGTGTGTGTATATATACTGTACATGTATATATAAAACGACACAAGCAATGTAAAAAGCAAAATTACATTGCCATGAATGTATTGGATTGTCATAAGTGAAAACTGCATTTGCATACACAGTGATGCAATTGTGGTACTGGTAGTTGTCTGCATGTTCACACTTGTGGTTTGGTTGTGTTTTTGTTTAGTTTTTTTTAGTTGTTGAAAGCAGAGGTGACTGCAGGGTTTCCCTCTGCTGTTAAAGCTGGAACAGACAGAGGACAGAGCCAATGAGATGATGGAAAACTTCTTTTAGTCAGCAGTGACTGCATTTGTAATATAACTTAGCTCTCTATTATAAAAGCATCAAACCAAGGCAGACTGCATATCTCTCAGCTCTGGCTTCACCTTTGATGTGTTTTAATGGCATGTTTCTATTCTTTGTGTCTGCACAATGAAAAAAAAAAAGTTGTGTTAAACACACAATGAAACCAATTGAAGTTCTCACTCTGATTTATTTTATTCATCTGAAATTCTTGATCTTAAAGTCGTGGATTTGTCTGTTCCTCCTGTGTTGAGAGACGGAGTCGGATGGAGTCTTGTGTTAACAGACCTCAATGAATTATAAACAGCAGCACCCTCTGGTTACATTATGTGACAAGTGAAGTTGCTACCTGATGTGTTTTTAGTAAACAAAGTTATAGGTCACTTTTCCGAGCTGCAGGACTGTTAAGCTCACTTCAAAATGGCTGGCAGCCAAAAATAGTAAATGCATGTGAGTTACTATTTACAGTCGGTGCAAATTTGTGACAGATTCCAGCAGCACATAGAGAGTCATATATCTGTGGTTGCCATAAGGTGCTAACTTGTACTTTTCTTTTTTCTGCCTTTACCCAGAATGCCCTCTGACCCCAGATACCCCTAACAGCGAGGCCAGAATGTGCACGAGCAGCAGCCGCCTCGCTGCCCTGAAAAGACAGAATGACATCGAGCTCAAGGTCAAACAAGGCGCCGAGAACATGATTCAGATGTACTCCAACGGGTCCTCCAAGGTAGGACTCAACAGCGGAGGGGGAGGGTTCACCTGACAGTCAGGTTTTAGCTGGTTCATGTCAGGCTGCCAAGTGTGTAAAATCAGTTATACTGTATTTAATGAGTAGTTCCAGTTTTATACAGGCTGGGTCTTGTTTATTTAGATTTCATTTATTTATAATAACATTTATAATAACATCACCAAAAAAAATTCAAACTGGGCAAGAAACATAAGCGATCAGGTCATCATGGAGGTTCTGAACAGTAGCACGTTAGCTGAAGAGAAAATGAAAGTAAACAGTAAAATTATTAGATAAATAAATTTACAAATCAACCTCCTTGTTCAACTTTGAACTGTCAGACTTGCCATCACTGTACACACACACACTGTTTTCCTGTGTTTCCAATGAGGGATTATTGGCAACATTTCGAGAGAGCTCACTTTCATTTGAAATTCAGATAAAGTGGTTCAGATCAGTGTTGCCCAAACCTGTTTGGCTTGTGACCCATTAAAACAAAGACATGTCTACTATCAACCCCTCATCTTAACATTTATCTACTAGCTGTGGTCAGAAAGGTTTTTCATTTTGATAACTATTAGAGGAACTTAAAATGGTAAAATTAACCAGAAATTCACAAGAACAAAAACAGATATTATCTGAAAAAACCAAACATAAATTTGCTTAATGTTTGAGTTTGTTTCTGCTTTCTGTTAATCATCACGTGACCCCTTAGATGCATCTTTCCACCCCACAGGTGGGAACTACTGTCACAAACCTTCTGACTACTTGTGTTTCTCCCCTGTGTGGTCTCTATTGCAGCAATAATATTTCCCATAAACCATAGAAATGACTTCAGACGTAAGAGTCAAGATGTAGTAAACCAGAATTGTCTGTTTGTCAGTCCAGAGGAGTCATAGAAACCATCAAGAACACTTCAGTTCATTTCAGTCGCCATCATCGGGTTTTATTCACCGTTGACATTCAGATTCTTTTAAAGTGGAATTACATGACACACGATCCAGATGTATTATAGCAGCTTAAAGGTGAGCTCGCCTTACATGACCTTCAACTCGCTTCACCACAGAACTCTTTCTGTTTGAATTTACACCGCCGGCCACTACTGTTGGAAATCCTTGTTTCTTCATCATGTGAATCTTCTTCACTTACACCTCCTTCCAGTCTGGCTTTTTTCCAAGGCCTGATAATTAAACTTGGCACGTGTCATTAGTTATATCATGTACCACAGACTGTAAAGGATTTCTAGACTCATTTCGTTTTTGTTTGTTTTGTTTTTTTTTTTACTTGAGGTAACAAAGTGTCTTTTTTATGAAAGGTATAATGAGCACAATCATTCCCAGTTTGAAAACCAGCTTCCCCTCTGTAGATGGTAGAATGATACATGGCAGGTTTGCTTTCTTCTCTGTAGGGGAGGAGGAAACGTGAGAAGGCGCTGACACATACTGTGTGTCATTCTCACTGCTGTTTGTTCCCAAAGCTGTTACCGTCCTTGTGGCTCCACTAATGCTCAGACCGAGAAAAACTATAATTTAGTTGGGAGGGGTGTGTGTGTGTGTGTGTGTGTGTGTGCGTGTGTGTATTATAGTCGTCAGAACTAATAACAACAGCTGGAGGACTGAGAACCTCTCATGCTCATCTTGGCTCTTGTGTCCATCAGTAGTAATTGAAGCCACTTTGTAGTAGACAGTTGAGCATAGTGTAGAGTTTCAGTGGTGTCATCTCTGCTTGGCCAGTGATGTAATTCTGCCTTTTATTGGATGTTTCTGTGGATACATCAGTGTAATTTAATGTAGCGTATGCTGATTAAATTTGTCTTGCCTTGAAATCCCTCTTTAAAGGAAGAGTTAAACATTTTGGGGAATATGCTTTTTTGAAATCTTGCTGAGGAGATTGATGCCACCCTCATGTCTGTATGGTAAAATATGAAGCTACAGCCAGCAGCTGATTAGCTTAGCTTAGCACAGAGAGAGAAAACAGGGGGAAACAGCTAGCCTGGCTCTGTCCACAGGTAAAATAATATCTGACTACCAGCACATCTAAAGCTCAGCAATAATTTTCCTATTTTTTTCTTTTCTTGTTTTTTTTTTTTTTATTATTCTTATAAAATAGACAAGTTGCAGTTTTTCAGGGGATTATGTTCACATCTGTTTCTCGGTCGGGTCCAAGAAATGGTCCAGAGAGTCACTGTGCCTGGCCAAGACATTTCTTCACATTAACAGGGTATAATGTGCAGAAAAAGCATTGTTTTGAATTTATTGAAATACATTTGGTTTTTTTTAAGTATTTTATTAAAAAATTTGAACTAACATTTAACCTCTCACGTATGTGTCTGCTGTCTAAATTCATCTACATCCCAGGATCAACACCTCACATGCTTTCAAAACTTGTGTAATGGAAATTTGTGCTGATTTGTGACCAATTTAAAAAAAAAAAAAAAAGCACTCAGACATGAGTCGTTGAACTTTACCCAACGAGACACTGAAGATCGTTGTATTATGTGTCCAAGTGAGCGTGGTGTTGAAACAATAGGTACTTGTGGAGCCTCAGTCTGTAACTGTAGTACAGTAACAGGGACTGAAAGTTGTCACATGACCCCGACTGTCTGTCTGGCCAGGGGGAGGTCAGTGCTTTGTAAGTGACCTCCCCCGGTCAGACAGACGGACAGAGGCACCTTCCAGTTGGAAATAGTCATGTCCTGATGTCACAGAGGAAATGCCTGCTGGACAGAGGTCTTTCCTGCGCGGGCCGCCGTCAACAACCAGGATTTAAACTTCAGAGGAATTCTGGGTGGAGTTTACTTACTCCACTCTGTGTGTGTGTGTGTGTGTGTGTGGGTGTGTGTGTGTGTGTACGTATGTGAGGGTCAGCAATTACAGCACACAATGAGATTCCACTTTTTTTTTTTTTTTTTTGTGAATAAGATTTTCCATGTGGTCACTGGTACTTTGGCTCCAATTAAGGGCATGAACTGGCGTCCTGGCTGTTTGCGTTGCGTGCTCACAACAACAAAACACAATGAGTGACGAGAGATGGCGTGCATTTGGGGGTCATTTATCCTGACACTGAAAGCTATTTAAGTCAGGAAGACAAAACATTACTAAAGCCTTTGACTCAATCATTAATGTGTGTCAAAAGTGTATCGATAACGCTTTGTTTTCACTCACAGGATCGTAAGTTGCTAGCGACAGCCCAGCAGATGCTTCAGGACAGCAAGACGAAGATTGAGTTCATCAGGATGCAGATCCTCAAAGCCAGCCAGACCAGCGAGCTGAGCTTCGAGAACAATGATGTGATGGGTGAGCCTTCGCTTGCAATCAGTGATCGATTAGAATCAGTCAAATGTGAAATGCCTCTCACAGATTAAAACAAAGAGAAACACATACACACACACACACACACACACCTGTTCACCCAATGTCTTATAAACCATGATGCATCAAAATAAAGAATCCCGTTCGTCCTTGTCCTCCAGAAAAACCCATCATCAGCCCGTTAGACCTGCGGGTGGAGGAGCTGTGTCACCATGCCAGGATAGAGTCCGCTGTGGCCGAGGGAGCCAAGAATGTCATGAAACTCCTGGGCTCAGGAAAAGTCACGGAAAAAAGGGCACATTCAGAGGTAGATGTTTGTGTTGTGTGAGTGTGTGAGTTTCCATGTAAAGTCACATCCTCTTTCCACTTGGTGTGTGATACTGGTTTGAAACGAGCAAGAAAAAGATTCTCTTCACTTGAGAGCCGATACAGTTTAATGGACTTCAAATGAAACTGATCCCTGCTCTGCTGCTGTGCTCTTCTAAAGTAAAATGGACCATGTAATTGATGTTTCTCTCTGTTTCCATCCTTCCTCAACTCATTTCCCACACCCTCTCTTTCCTTTCCTTCCCCCCCTCTTTTCTTTCCTTTGACTTCCTTCTCTCCTTCCCATCTGTCCAGGCCCAAGCTCGTTTTAATGAGTCCAGTCAAAAACTCGACCTCCTGCGATATTCCTTGGAGCAGCGCCTCAGTGAGTTACCTAAAAACCACCCGCGCAGCAGCAGCATCATAGAAGAGTTGTCCCTGTTGTCCTCGCCGGTCCTCAGTCCCAGATCAAGCATCATCTCCACACAGAACCAGTACAGCACTGTCACCAAGCCCGCTGCACTCACAGGTAACAGGACCAGGGACATATTGATGGTTATTGATTAACACATGGATCGTTTGAGATCATTTACACTCTGTTGTCACAGCCCCGTCCCATTGTTCTCAACAAAGAACAGAAATGATGTTGAGTGGATATAGGTATCGTAAATGACACGCGTATTGCTGTCATAATTACTTTTTTTTTGGTTTAATGTTTGCCTTTGCACAGTGATATAACACAGAGATATTTCATTAGTCATCCTGTTTTTTTTTTTTAGTCTGTGCGCTCTTCTCAAGTACACACTTTTCATTTTAGCACAAACACAGGACTGCGGTTGTCTCACACAAACTTTGCTGATTTGTATGTGTAATGTTCCTTCAGTCACACAGGAACAAAGCCAACTTGATGGATCTGTAAGGGCTGGTCGGATAAAGATAAATATTTATTCTAACTCAGATTTAACAGTGAATTAATTGCGCTAAACTGTCTAGTTTTATCATCTGAAGCAGAGCCGATTTGCTGTGAATTCTGACACTTTTCAAACCAAACACACGACAGATTTCTAGCTGTTCAGCTCCTTTTCCATCCTTTAGGAAAGATGTGAATCTAATATTTTAAAGGGTTCAATGTGCTCTTTTAAAACTGTTCCTCTCAGAAGATGTCACTCATTATCATCATGGAAGCACAGATCTTAGGTCAGAGATATTCTGCAGGGTGGGTGGCCTAAAATTAGTCAATCTTTATATTTGAGCAGCTGTCAAAACCTGAATTAGGCTCGTCTAACAGAAAAACCAAGACTGTCCTGGCTCAGTAAACCATCCTAACATTTCTTTATGAAACCAACTACAAGTAAAAAGCTTCCCCTGATACATTTTGAAAGTATATTTAAACACATCATCCAGTTTCCATGTGCAAAATGGGATAACTGAACAGCCTGGAACAAGAAAGAGTGTGAATATATGAATGTGCATCATCCCACCTGACTTCCAGGCACCTTAGACGTCAGGCTCATGGGCTGTCAGGACCTTCTGGAAAATGTTCCAGGTCGTTCCAAAGCTGCATCTGTCCCGCTGCCCGGCTGGAGCCCCAGCGAGACACGCTCATCCTTCATCAGCCGAGCAAACCGAAACCGCGGCGTGAGTTCGAGGAACCTGACGAAGAGCGAGGAGCTCTCCAGTAAGTAGGCCTGACCTCGTCCTCCGTCTGAGGAGAGTAAATATTGATGAAAACGAATTCTGTGATTACATTAAGCTTCACCGAAGTTAACCACCTCAGTGAAATGACCTTATCTCTAAAAACAAGTGAATGATCACAATCAGGACACTGTTAATACACTAGTGCTTAACAAATTGTGTGTGTGCGTGTGTGTGTGTGTATTTCTTCAGATGAGATCAGCGCAGTGTTGAAGCTGGACAACACGGTAGTCGGCCAGACAAGCTGGAGGCCAGTCAGCAACCAGGCGTGGGACCAGAAGTTTACATTGGAGCTGGACCGGGTAACACACATGCACACACACACACACACACACACACACACACACACACACACACACACACACACACACACACACTTCTGCCCTTGACCTACATCTCTGCTGTTGACTCAGTGTTGCGTGTGCAACACAGTTTTTCACGTTTGTTGTTGTTTGTATGTGTGTTTCTGTGTGTGTGTGTGTGCGTGCGTGCGCGTGGCTCTCTCCTGTAGTCTCGTGAGCTTGAGATCTCGGTGTACTGGCGTGACTGGCGTTCGCTCTGTGCTGTCAAGTTCCTGCGGCTGGAGGACTTCCTGGACAACCAGCGTCATGGGATGTGTCTCTACCTCGAGCCACAGGGCATGCTGTTTGCTGAGGTACACACAGACTCACACACATGCACACAAACACACACACACACCAAGTAGATTAATTCCATAAAAGGGCATTGAGTAATTGAGTGAAGTTTACCAGCGTGTGTCGGTAATAAAGGAACAATGAAACAACATACTGCCTGTAGTGGGAAGATTTTTTAAAATGCAATGAGAAAACATGGTGAAATATGATATATATATATATATATATATTATATAATTTGATAATCATCCTTATTGATCCTTTGATAATCCTTTTCATGTTGTGCTGTGGTGTAGTAGAGTGAAAGCTTTCATTTTTATAAACACCTTTCACTTTACCTTTGTGCTGTGAGTGTGCTGATCTCGAACATCCTCTAAAGACACTTTCAAACTGCACCGTCAGTCCAGACGTTAATGTAGCTTCATCAATTCTAAAATAAATGAATACTAATGCCACAACGCATTGCACTCCTTTCTATCTTTCATTAACACACAGAACCTTTAACAGTCACTCATGCAGTTCTCTGCCGCCTCAGCTGTTTAATCTTACAGTGTAGTCTCTTGACAGAACATCCTATAATATCTGTACATACAGACATACACACACACACACACACACACACAGACACACACACACACACACTGGCTTTTTATAGTTCTCATGCACAGATTTGTCCCAGTTCTGTTGGTTTTCTAAATTTCCCGTCACGGTTTCTGTTTGTTCAGGTAACATTTTTCAACCCTGTCATTGAGAGACGACCAAAGTTGCAAAGACAAAAGAAGATTTTCTCAAAGCAGCAAGGTGAGTCATAGCTGTCAACAGAGCACTGCACTTTTTCAAGGTGCGCTATTGTACTTCTCAGTCGTTCGTGACGGAAACTTGCATTTGTTTAAACAGGGTTGGGTGTTGTGTCTAAAATTTTCTAATTACAGTATTAATTTTTCTTGACTTTCCTTCCAAATCAGTTGCTACGTGGTTAAAGGAAAGGAGGGATTTTTTTTTTGTATTATTCACAGATATTCCTTGTTTTCCTCTTCCTTCTCTTTTTCACTTTTTCACTGACAAACCTCTTCACCTTTTCGCTTTTCTTCGCCTCCCCCTTTTTGTGTATTTTACTTTGTCTCTATCAGGAAAAACCTTCCTGCGAGCCCCTCAGATGAACATCAACATCGCCACCTGGGGCCGCCTGGTGAGAAGAGCCATACCGACTGTCAGCACCAACTCCTTCAGCCCGCAGGCTGCTGAGACCGGACCCAGCAGTCTGCCCGGGTCACCCACACCCAGCAGGTACTCAATCACACATGCACAGACATAACAGATATTAAAAAGTCATTATTAACTCATACTCATAATAAAGCTAAGATAAGAAATTAAAAAAAAAAAAGACAGATTAACGACAGTGTTTATTAGTTCTCAGTCTCTCACTATTTCTAACTAAGTTTAAAGACACAAAAAGTTACTTATGTTCAGTGTCAGTAGCTGGAGCGTTGATGTCTTTACTGAGCTTTACCTCTCCACACACAGTGACCCACTGGTGACCAAACTGGACTTTGACAAAGAGCCCACCCCAGGACCCAAACACTACCCAGCTCCCGATAACATCCGAGAACCACTGGTGCAGGACAAGATGCCCGACAAGGAGGAAGTACAGGTACAAGTGTTTCAGGAAACACAAGTTAGGTTGATAAGGCAGCAGTGAACTGATACAATCACAGATTGAGGACAACAGAGCAGCAGCGAAGCTCCTCGTTAGTCTTGTGCATGAAAATGAGGTTCTATGTTTTCTGTTTAAAATAATGCTTCATGTTTTCTAATTTCTTACATTTTCAGATTTGTCTTTGAATAAAATAATACTCATTGACCAGAGCTTCAACTCAGTATTGATCATACATGTCTGAATACGACTACAAATTCTCACCGTAAATCATCTTGGTATAAACTGTTTATGAGTCTCATCTAGTTTTAATAACAACCATAGATAAGACAGTTTACAGTCTTTCATCAGTGTTCCTTTGTGTAACTAAAGAACTCCTGGTCGAGTAATAATCACAGGATTTGTTCAGTTAAACAATATAATTTTGTATGTAATTTATTTATTTGTGAATATTAATAAGACATGACAGATGTAAGTATAATTTCCCAGTAATAAATGATGACGAACAGCTTGTTGATTATAATTTTTTATTGACCAAAACGCCACTGATTTGACTGTTACACTATCTTTGTCATTTATGTCTAATTCTCCTGCTTTGTGTTTCTTCTCTGCAGGACGCACTCGCCTCATTTGACTTCCTGAACAAGAGAAACAGCATGGCGGTGAAGCCGGACCTGGACGGAGTGGCGGAGCAGGAGATCCAGCATCCAGACCTGGAGCTCACCGCCATCCAGAAAGACACAGAGATAAGGTAGGAGAGCCACGAGCTCGTTTGGGTTCGTGTTAGTTTTAAATGTTGAAGTGAATTTCAAATGAAAGTTAAAAGAAGAGAGGAAAAGATGTGGTGATTTTCTTTTTTTCTTCCGGTTGCTCCAAGTAGAGACTTGTGTTTGAAAAGGGCAGCGGGCAGGAAAACGTACTTATTAATATTTCTGGTGGATGTTGTTCTGTCGATGATTTTCAGTGAGAATGAGGAAACAATAATGTGGCACAGAAAGATTGTAAATACACAAAGTTTGCTGCCACTGTTTTGATTCTCCTGTTACAGTTGTTGACATCTTTTAACATCTCTGATTTTCATGCTGTGGATGTTGCAGTGGGGGAAAAAAAAAAGTAACCAGTGAAGGAGTTAGATGGGGTTAAATGCTGCCCCCTGGCTTTGACTCGTCATGATTTTGAATTTTACTGCAAGCAGTCCGTCTGCAGCTGCCTGTTTTCTTTTTATTCAAAACACTTCATGCAGATTGGTCTACACTGACTTCTTTAGGCATACTGATGTAAACACTGATGTCTTTCCAGGGAAGAAGAGCAGTTCCACTTCAGTCTCCAGGACTTTAAATGTGTAGCAGTCCTCGGACGTGGTCACTTTGGAAAGGTGCGTTTCATTTGATCATCCGACACAGGGCTGCAACTAATGATTATTTTTGTTGTCGATTTATTAATAGTTTTGTTTAAAAAAAAAAAAAAATGCCAGAAAGTGCAAAAAAAGCTCATTATAATTTTCTGGAGCTGAAGGTGGCATCTTTAAAAATCCACAGTCCAGAACACAATGATATTAAGTTCATATATGACAAATAAACCATCAAATCCTCAAGTTTCAGAAGTTCAAACTGGGAACTTTGACATTTTTGAAATTTGTCAATTTAACAAAATAATTGATTCATTTTCTGTCAGTTTCTTAACTGATTCATCCACTGATTGTTTAATCTTGAGTAAAAATGAGCAAAGTGAGGAGGAAAGCTAGAATAAAAGCTGTCTCTCCTCTGCTGCCCCTCTACAGGTGTTGTTAGCTGAATATAAAAGCACAGGCGAGATGTTCGCCATCAAAGCTCTGAAGAAAGGCGACATTGTGGCTCGTGATGAGGTGGACAGGTAAACAGACTCTCACCAGTGTGTCACTGAAGTGAAATAAAATGTCATTTGTTGTGAAAAACTGTCGAGCTAAAAAACAAAGTAAAGGAAGTCGAAAGTCGTTTGTTTTGCTCAGAGCGTCGATGTGACTTTTCCTTCAAGTACAAATTTCATCTCCCTGCGGCGCCGTGACTCACGTGATCGTCTCTTCTCTTCCAGTCTGATGTGTGAGAAGAGGATTTTTGAAACAGTCAACAGCGTCCGCCACCCGTTCCTGGTCAACCTGTTTGCGTGTTTCCAGACGCAGGAGCACGTTTGTTTTGTCATGGAGTACGCAGCGGGAGGCGACCTGATGATGCACATCCACGCTGATGTTTTCTCTGAGCCCAGGGCCGTGTGAGTGACCAGAGCTTCACCTCTGTATCGATCATACACGTCTGAACACGGCGACAAATTCTCACTGTAAACCGTCTTGCAATAAATTTGATTGCATGATTCTCTCAGTTGATCCAAATGACTTGGAGTATGTAGCTTGTATGAATCCTCTTTCTGGTTGGCTCACGGGGGCCTTCATCATTTGTAGCAGTAACATTATTTTCATTTTGTCGTATAAATGTAATTAAAGTAAATTCATAGTCTCTTGTGCATTTGAGATTATTCCGTTATATAAATTCTGACGTAAGTCTTAAGTTACTATATAAATAACAATTATTTTTAAAATGGCTTTTTCATATCCTGTAAAAACGTCTCCTCAGTGCATCATACTTCATAGCTTCAGTGAAGCTCATGCAGCCTTATTTACCGGCTGTTTTGTACCTTTGCAGATTTTATGCAGCCTGCGTTGTGCTGGGATTACAATTCCTACATGACCATAAAATTGTGTACAGGTAAACAGGTTACATAATTTTAACAGAATTTATTTCCACAAGAAGCTTTAAGGTCTCAAAAATAATTGTGGTTCTCTTGTTTGTTTTTTTTTGTTATTTGCAGAGATTTGAAGCTGGATAACCTGCTCCTGGATACAGAGGGCTATGTAAAGATTGCTGACTTTGGACTTTGCAAAGAAGGTAAATTGGGAGATGACATCAATCTAAAAGCTTCAGACTTTTGTTGTTGAAAGGAAGTCCTGTGGGGAATTGCTTGAAAGCCGGGGCTCAAGAGTTTGTTTTTTTAAAGGATTAAAGAGGAACATTGTGGAGCATCAGGTGGCCTAGTGGTTAAGATGTACACCACACAACTGTAATATCCCCCGTTTGATTGTGACTTTTGTTTGCATGTTGTATCCGCTTATCTTTCCCCATGTTTTCAGTCTCTATCTACACTGAGCTGTCTGTAAGACCGCTAGATAAATATCATGTAACTTCATTATGAATCTATTTAATTATCATAAAAACACACGTTCTAAATAAAGTTATTGGTGCGACCGAGCCAGGTTAAAGGACAGATTCGTTTTCCAGGAGGGTTTTTACTAAACTGCCTGTGTGTTGTTTCAGGAATGGGGTTCAGGGACCGCACCAGCACATTTTGTGGCACGCCAGAGTTTTTAGCTCCTGAGGTTTTGACTGAGACGTCGTACACCCGCGCTGTGGATTGGTGGGGACTGGGCGTCCTTATCTTTGAGATGCTGGTTGGAGAGGTGAGTACACAGTACTCAAAAAAAACTTTCATAAACATGCAGTAACTGTATGTGAATTGCATATTGTCGTGACCCATACAATCCTCTGACATAACAGCGACTCATCTCTTTCATCTTGGCACGTCTCTTTTAGTCGCCCTTCCCCGGTGACGATGAGGAGGAAGTGTTTGACAGCATTGTCAACGATGAAGTCCGCTACCCACGATTCCTCTCCACCGAGGCCATCTCCATCATGAGGAGGGTGTGTAGATAGACTGAGAATTAATTCAACTCTGCTTTTATTGACAAATCGTCATTGTATAAGAGCATTTACACAGTTTGTGTGTGTGTGTGTGTGTGTGTGTGTGTGTGTGTGTGCGTGTGCGTGTGTGTGTGCGTGTGCGTGGGAGTCAACCACTGTAATGTTAACCGTATTTTATTGTTTTCCTCGTGCTCAGCTTTTGAGGAGGAGTCCAGAACGGCGTCTGGGAGCAGGAGAAAGGGACGCAGAGGAGGTTAAGAAACATCTGTTCTTCAGGGTAAGAAACAAAAAGACCATTTGCATTGATTTTGTTTTTTCTACTGTTGTAATTTTGTATTTAATGGAATAGTTTTACATTTTAATTAGTGAGCAATCTTTTTTTTTCCGTCAGACAGAGCCGGGTTAGTCGTTTCCCTTGTAGCCACTCTTTATGCTAAGCTAAGCTAAGCAGATGCTGACTGTAGCTGACTGTAGAGATGAGCGGTATCCTCCTTCTTATTCAGCTTCCTTTAAGAAAATTGTTGGCACTACTGTTATCCTCTCTGTGTGTCTGCAGCACATGGATTGGAACGGACTGCTGGCTAAGAAGGTGAAGCCGCCGTTCGTGCCAACGATTCAGGGCGCCAACGACGTCAGCAACTTCGATGATGAATTTACCTCAGAGGCTCCGATCTTAACCCCGCCCAGGGAACCCCGAGTGCTGTGCTCTGAGGAGCAGAACATGTTCTCTGACTTTGATTACATCGCTGACTGGTGTTAGCTTGACATGACTCCCCTCAACACACACACACAGACGCAGACACACACACAGACGCAGACACACACACACACACACACACACACACACACACACTGTGAACCAACCAACACAGCAGTGACTGTAGCTCACATCTTTTAAAACTCTTCCTCCCTGCCCAAAATGTTGAGGAGCAGCGGACGCGGCTCCCTGAGCCTTCGGGCAAAAACTCTGTGCCATTGAGAAGAAAGTTCAGACGCCTCCTGAGTACCCCCACTTATTTTTTAATCCACATGAAGAACATTTTTTTTTAAAGAGAAAAAGAACAAAAGAAACTCTGTTGGAGAGTGAAGGAGGAGGGATGCTTTGTCCTCTCGCACACGTTGTCGTCGTGTCCATTGTCTGACCACTGAGAATGTTTTTCATATGAACTCCAAGAAGACGGCAACAGATCGCAATCATGTTATTCAGTGTCACTGTCTTCAGTTTTTTTGATCTGTACAGATTATATTCAGTCGTATATTTTATTGTTGTGTTTTCTTTATTTGCAAAGCCCTCGCCACAGCTTAAGGACATTTATCTCACTGTAAAGTTTGACAGTTCTGTCACGACCATGTCTGAGACTGGTGTTCGGTGAATTTAAAGTGCTCAAAGCATCATCACTGAATGGTCAACTGCAACAAACATCTTGACTACTACTGCTGCTTCTTGACTTGAAAACCAAGTAAGAGTCTTCACACTACATTTCCTTGTGTGTTGGGGCCCAATCCTTGTCCACACCCCGGGTTTAACACCCATGTTTTCCCTCACTTTGCTCACTTGAAGTTTGCATGTGTGCATACAACATGATAATAATACTCTAACTTAAAACGGCAGTCCATCCTGAACCACGTTCTACATAAGCTGTTATATGAATTACCATCTTTCAGTTTTAATTTGAAGTTTCATATTGAAGATGATGATTACAAATGCCTTTTGGCCAGAACAAATAATGCAAAATATTATTTTTTCATTTCTGATGCCCTCTAGTGGCGCTGTAGGTTGAGGTTGATATTCAGCTGAACTCAGTCCTAAAGATTTAAGAGCCACATGATGTTGCAGTATCACTTTTGTCAGAGCCGAGCTCAGTTGGATTTCAGTTCCTGTGGTGGAGCTGATGTTTTTCTTGTTACCTCAGTAAAAGTGAAAACACTTGAGACCAAATTCATTGTGTCCCTCTTGAAGCAGCAAAGAAACTCTCGTGGTTAGAAGAACATCCGGTTGATGGACTGATAGTGAACCCAATGACAGATGAACTAAAGATGTGTTGCGCAAAAATCTACAAGACAAGTGCTGAGCTTTTTTTTTTTTTGGGGGGGGGGGGGGCACACATTAAACTCAGTTATTTTAGGTGTCTGTCAAAATGCCATTGAAATGTTTCCCACACTGTTTTGTGATTAGATTTTTCAAGCTGAAACAGTGGCCCCAGCAGATGACTGTCAGTTTGCATGTTAAATATAAATTGACTCGGATGTTGCAGACCTGTTGATGAGTCACTACAGGGGCGGGCAGGGTATATTATATATACATACTGTATGTACACAATTAAGCTGAAAGCACTAATTTTATCAATAGTTTTAATTATCTACGTTTCTTAATGATGAAAATAGATTGTACAAAGTTTTTTTTTTTTTTTTTTTTATTCCTTGCTTGTGCATGTTGTCGCCAGAACAGATGAAAACTTAATGGATGGTACACCAATACTCAAGTCTCACAATGTTGCTGTTCACCCCGGTGTAAAAAAACAAACCGAAGAGGCATTTCTGCAGTCATTGTTTGTTGCCCATCATGAATGCACAAATTAAACATTTGTAATAGTGGGATTGCTTTTATTTTTAGCCCCGACATTGAACACACCCTTGGTTTATTTTGGGTATTAAGAGTTTTCACTTCCTCTGAGTCACTCCGAAAACGACAATCTGAAGTTTTCATATGTTCACAAAGAGGTTGTGGAGTTTTCTTTCCTTTGAAGACTTTTGATCTATGAAAGTGTGTAAGTGAAAGATTTTATGTAAATGATTGTTAAATGTTATTCAAACCATGAGCCGATTACCATGCTTTAATGAAAATCTTTAATTTTTTTTTTTTAAATTACTTAGAACAATTCAAACAAACTAACAAAATAGAACCTGGTCATTTTTCTACAAAAACAAAGTTTTATGTATACAGTATGAAATCAGCCTAAAATTTGCAAGCATCAATTACACTTTCCCACTTGGACATATATACATGGTACAGTATATACACTCAAATGAAATACTGTAAGTACAGTCTGCAAGCTGTTTCTTTAAGCACTGGAATGTGTGTCCGTTATATTCCTGTGAGCGCGCCTTGATGAAGGCTTGAAGTCTGAGGACAGACAAGAGAAATCTTCCAAATTCAACACAAATAGGATAAAAAAAAGAGCACGATCCTGTAAGTACAGCAGAAAAAATATCACGACTGTGTAGGCAGCGACTTGTTCACAGCTGAGGCAGCTTGTCGACGGGTGTGTCAAATTTGAAGTCTGGAGGGAAAAGTTCCGCAGCTCGCGGGTAGATGAGTCGGTACGACTGTCTGATCGTAACGTCTGCGACACCGGCGATATCTCCGATTTCTGTGGAAGCATCAGACACAAAGTTGAAATGTTTGACTTGAAGTATTTTCTACATCAAAGAAGAAAAATAATTTCCTGTAGCTCAAAAATGCAAAGACTGAAAATAAAGTGAGAATTTTTTTGTAAACTGTCAGCGTCACAAGCGTCACATCTGGAGCTCAAAGGAGGCCCTTCGTCTTGCTCAAGAACACTTCAACAGGATGGATAACATTTTTTTCCTCAGTTCAGACAGTGGACTCTCAGCGTTACCCATTTCCCTTTTATCAGACTGGAGCACAGCTGTAAACGCATTTCACTGGAGTGATGTGTTTCACCCAACTACTTCCACTTTTGAAAGAATTCACATTTTCCTTTTCATAAATCATCAATAACTTATTAACATCAGATTCGGCAGATTTCCCACTGATCAGTTTTGGACAACGTACGAAGACCTGAATAAAACCATATCACACTTTGATGGTCACATTTTTTTTTTACAGATGGGCCCATTAACTATAATAGTTTGTCTAACTCAACACACTACTTGAGTATCAACAGCACGACTAAAACATTATCACTCACCTTTCTGGGTCTTCTTCTCTGCAGAGGCCTGGGAGGCCATGTAAATGGCTGCTGCAGCCACAGAGATGGGGCTTCTGCCGGGCACCAGGTCGAGCTCCACGGCCTTCCTGGCGATGAAGGTAGCCGCCATCTGCACTTGCTTGGGCAGCCCAAGGTTTGAGCAGAAGCGGGACATGAAGTCTCCTGTGGTGATTAGGTCCACGCTGGTCTCCAGCGCCTTCAGGATCAGCTTGAAGCATCTACCAATCTCCTTCTTAGAGATCCTGGAGACGGCACAGATCTCTGTGGAGGAAATGAGGAGGAGATTCAGTAAGATGGACTGAAGTGAAAGAAAACTTGAGTCTCTAGCCGTCTTCTCATATGAACTCCAGGCTATGAGAAACAGCCCCAGACATGGTCTGGAGTTGCCTTTTCACACATGTAGCACATAACCGGAGATTGTTGTGTCAGAGGCGTTCTCACCTACTGGAAACACTCTGTCTGGTTTAGGTGAGTGTTGGTGCCTGGATGCAGAATAGAAACATAATACCCACTTGCTAGCTGTGAATTGTCCGGATAATGACCTGCTCTATTCACACATCGTCTGAATGGACATTACACAGACTTAGCACCAGGGAGCTGGCAGGGTTAAGTCTGTTTAACGTTGGGTTCAACTGATCTGGACATTTGCGTTCTCACATAAAACTCCTCTGGGTAATGTTGAGAAAAGTTCAGAGTTGCAACAAAGTCTGAACATTTCAGCAAATTTTTTCTATCCACTCCCTGCGGTGACTTCCACAGTAAGACGAGAGAAGAGAAAGTGAAGAAATCGTGCATCCTTGACTTCTATATATAGTGTGTTTCCTTCTTAGGGACAAACCTTAGAGACAGGAATCAAATTGCCCTTGGTAATAATAGTGGTAAATTGCACACCACACATTAAACCCCATTGAGAAACACTTCAGGGACTTTGGGTCTGGGAAAAGGTGAGAGCAATTTTCAAACAATATACATCAACGTGCCACCATCACACAGCCACAATTTCTTTCTATACTGTCTGAAAATGTCATTAAATGTTTTTAACGGTGAGACAATACAGCACAAGTGAATTGAAAGAATAAAAGATTCATTACTGATAATCTATTATTGATACCATTGTGTGTATTTTGCTATCAATGTGTATTTTGAACAAATTCTTTTTGAAAAATATTTTAATTTAACACGAGAAGTTAAAACGTGATTTCTAGCCACCAGACATGAATTTAAAGAGGGACAATTCTTAAATTCTCAAGTGAGAAATGTGGAGATTTGGTCTGTTGAACATGTTACATGTTTGCATATATTAAGAAGTACCACTATTTGATCAGATTCAAGAGCAGCTGGATGTGAAATAATATGGCTATGGCAAATTCTTACAGGAAATTGTTTATTCTGACCTTTAAATGTTCTTGGTACACCTTCTTGTCTGCAGGCGATGTAGAGACAGGCAGAAGCAATGGCATCGTTGGCTCGACCCTTCAGGCTCTTCTGTTCATAAACCTGCTTGAATAAGTTGTTTGTTCTGTCCTGTAAAGCAAAAAATCATTTACAGCAAACACATTATTAGTAAAGGTCTTGATAACAATCTTCCCAAATTAAAATGAATGTTGATTTTTTTTTTAGAGATTTAATAGTGTTTGTATTCACAAACCCAAAATTACTGTTTTTGTGAAAGTTAATTGTCAAAATCTGTTTTTAAACATGGTCTTATCCTAATTTGGTTGAACTAAAACAAGACGACAACAGTCAAGCTGTGATATTTCAGTATAAGGGTGGACAACCAGTTGATTGTATGTGGCTCTTCTACTCACATTTCCTCTCTTTGTATTTCATTTTTAAATCACTATTATTTACTTCATTAATGCAAATTATTGCCACAAGAGAGCCAGTGTTTCCCAGTTAGTGGGACAAACCCCTTTATATAAACAGGCATATGAACATAACTTCCGCCCAGATTGGGCCAGTTCATATGCGACAACTGTCCCAGGTCATAGTCTGGTTGTCACTTTCAGCTGAAGACGGACGGTTTCACAAAAGACAGACTTTGACTATGGTTTAAATATAACAGATAGTCCGACTTCAGATAGACGTCTAAATGCATCCGTTGCACAAAGCAATTTAGTTATTGACTGTCTTAAATCGGACTGTGGTACAATGAATTCTGGGTAAATTAAGACTTTTTTCAAAATAAAAAAAAATGGCCGACAGGGTCACCACATCCAACCCTCAGAAAATGTTTGTCTAGCGGAAGAATTCAACAGTTACAAGGACGTTTTACTTGGGAAATTCAGCGAAGAGTAACAATAGGAAGAAAAACCTGCTTTGTAAAAAAAAAACTGCAGCGACAGTAAACTGTGTCAATCCCACCGTTGACAGAAGCATCAAATATGTTCAAAAAAGAAATAAAAATATGCTACAAGACACAAAAAAATAAATGTTTAAAAGAAGAAAATCCTAAAGCAGGAGGAGGACCACAGGAAAAGCTTGAAGACACTACTGAAATTGGGCAGTGGCCTCTGTTTGGGGGGGATAAACTGGACGAGAGCGCGGAGTATGTGGGATCAACAGCGGTGAGACTGGGGCTCACCCACCCGCACCGACAGCAGCCCGCCGCCAGCCTCCCGAGGGAGACGGACAATGACAGCCAAAATAACACACGTAACATTAAGGTAATAATGTCTCTAGTGATTGTTTGAATGACAGCAGTCAAAAGAAAAACGTATAACTTTGTGACGGTGGTTTTGGTATGCTAACGGCTGAGCCGGTAGCTAGCTGCCAACGATTTAACGATGCAGCCTTTGTGCAAGTGACGTGTCAACACACGCTACAACTTGGCCTTCAGAATAAAGTGGTGCTGTCGGTGTTTATTTTTCTTACCGACCCTGTCTTCGGACGCGTCTGGATGAGACAGCAGAGGAGGAGAGGCAGTTACTGCGGTCTCTAAAAACTCTTTCCCCTCTAGATGCTCTTTTCATAATAATGTTAGCAAACTACAAATTATTACCAATTTTTCTATTTTTTGTTGTTGTTGGGTGCTGCTGGCCAGCACAGGTGTCACTGATTGTTACCATGGTAACATTAGTCTGTGGTTAAGGTGTCTAATTTTTTTGGCTTAAAATTAGTCAGTCTTTTTTTTTTTTTGTGAAACAGTCTGACTTACATCAGACTGATCTATGAGCCAAATTAAGAGTGGTCTAATACTAGTCTGCAGGGTGTCCATATGTTTCAGTTATAAACCACTGGATCACAGAGAATTACATAATTATCACAGAAAGCTACATTTCGTTTCTCTTGTTCCTTTTCTCACTATGTTTCCCATGTGCGTGGTTTTCATTTTTCTCTCACTCTCTGAGTCAGCTGACCTTTAACGTGTGTCATCAGTGTCAGCTTCTACCGCTAAACAAAGACATCTGGTTCTGGAAGTGTCTGGAACAAACCAGGTAGAGACGAAAACAGTGAAGCTTTAGGTCTTTTTTAACTTACTATGATGTTCCTTGGCAGGTTGATGCGATCTGCCATGGTGCTGATTTCTTTAAAGGCATTGAGCATAGCCCGGTCAGAGCTGCTCATGGTCCGCCGGTTCTGGTACTTGGAGTTTCCGAACTCGTCAAAACTTGCTGCGCCTGTTCCCTGTGGTGTAAACATTGGATGTTTATTAGTAAAACTCTGAGGACGTGGTTTACTTTGATTGTGGTACTCAAGTGCTGCTATTACAAGACAGTAACAATGGTGTTTCTGCATCACTGTGGGATCCAAACTCTTAGCAGAGAAATATGTACTGGTTAATACTGAGATAAATGCTTTTATTATTATCCAAGCTTTCAGTGCCATGAGTGTTTCAGCACACCATTACCTATACATGCGCATCTGAACTAATATAGTCTAAAATATTCACATTGAAACTGGAGTGCTGTGATTAAACAACTGGAGATCTTCTGTCATCCTTCAAGTTATTTAAATCGCAAATACCAATATTTTGGAACAACTGTAATTTTCAGACATCAGGCACATCTGTCTCTCACCTTGCTGATCATGGTGGTTAGGTCTCCTCCATTGAGCAGTGGGTTCTGGGCATCTCCCACTCTGGATGGATCTTTAAGGGCCTTCTCATTAGAAAACGTCCTCCACTCTGAGCCCACATCGATTACACGGTCACCTGAGGAGAAATGGTTTGGAGAGTTGAATTAAAATAAATAAGATAAATAGGAAACCTAAATCTGGAGAGAACTAAAAGGAGGCACACGATCAATGTCTTACACATTCATTGTAACAAGCTTTAATTGGTAGATTTGCTGCATGGAAATAATGTCTGAGCTTATTTCAATGTAGACTTTGCGTTTGAGCGCTGGTGCTTTTATTCTTTGAGATTGAGTGCATGGCTTTTAGGCAGGGTGTCAACAACAGAAACCAAAATATAGTTTGTTTTAAATGTAAATGTAAAATTAACTTTTTTCTGTAATAGTATCCAGCAAAATCTTCACTCCAACACAGGCAAATTTTTCCCTTTGCAAACAACATCCTTTAAAATACAATGTTAAAATTAATACATTGAACTTGACTTTTGGTTTCAATACTTTTGAAGGCTAAACTTGATACCCTGCACACAGACCAACTAAATTCATTTTCAACCAACATCCAACTTGTTTCTTTCTCTCCTTTTTCTATCTTTTGTACTGACGGCTACACCCTTTGCTCTGAAACTGGTTCCTTTTTCCTTCCTTAATTGATAGAAACATGAGATGCTTAGTAATGAGGTAATGACGTATCGATTTTTACAAACAGTTTGTTTAAAGTTCAGCCAATCACCTGCACAGACAAACAGTTTGTGCTCCGTTCTTCCATCGGGTTGCATTACATCCCTCTGGAATAATTAAGCAGAAGATGGTGCAATAATCAGCACAATTCCCCTCTGCAAACACTCAACTGCTGTAAATACTGTGTCGATCCTTTTTGGCTCAGCTACAGCATTCTCCAAGTTTTACTCCTCTGCTGTTCTCAGTATTGTGGCTGTAAATCTGGTTCAATCAATTTACACATCATCCCCTTCCCTCTCTTTTCTCTCATTTTCTTATTACTGTCTGTTTGCAGTGAGGCAGGTATACATAAGAAAATATGGGTTCATCCAAAGGAAAAAGGTGTGACATGGGCAGGACGTACTGTCTGAACAGGGCCATTAGTTTCTTGCACTTATCATGACTGTCTGTTCTTGGAACTGTGTAGCAGGGTCGGGGATTAGATTTCTGATATTTTAATCCTGTTAAGATTTTTTTTTACCATCCATCAGCCTTTCTTATATCTAGAGGCAAAGTGACATTCATCTCCTCAGAGGTCACCCGAAGCTATGGGAGCAGGAACAGAGGGCGCTTCAGCTTGCATCAGAGAGCGGCTGGCGTCTCTCATCTCCTGTCTGACCTGGTCTGTGCTCAGGGGGCTCGTTAGAGGAGAACTCTGTGTCCCCTGCAGCTTTGTCTTACACTCTGCATCACATGTTAAAAGATGTTTTATCTGTGCCTGGCAAAGCAAGTATTTGCCTTCACAAAAAAATGTGATTTATTAATGCACAATCAAAACACTAGACCAGCACAAATAACTGCTAACTTTTTGTTCAGAAGCTTCTCTGATGTTCATTTATCTTTATATTTTTTTCAAATCATTCCTCTCTGCTCTTTATTGATCTCAATGTTCTTCTGGTCTCAGATTTAATCTAGGTGAGTGTTTCTTCATATTATATTTATTATTCTTGCCTTTGGTTCGAGTGACAAATTTAAGCATCAGATCACTTATATTGTAAAGAACCTTTTCTACTGTACATATGACAGACAATGGAAAAAAAAAAACTCTCGACAGCGAAGTGTATGGATTATTCAAAATAATACAATCAACACTGTCTCTGGAATAAGACACTACTATTGTAGTTTTTCTGTTCTTTGAACAACACAAGATTTGCATTTTCCTTTCTTGTATTTGTGTAGTGAAAGATGTTTTTGTGATCTGGGTGAATACAACATAAGACTTAAGACAAGCTAAACATTGTAGATTAATATCCAGAGGATGGTTGAACCACATTACATAATAAATATATTTATTGTGGCTGTGATTTCCACATTCTTTTCCACAAACTGTGGTCTTGTTTAGCATGTCATCTCAGGTTGTGTTCGAATGTAGAATTATTTTAACCATGGTTGCCTAAAACCACAGACACTGGCACAGGAAGACTGACGAGTGCGATTATCTAACTATGACAGAATTCAACCGAGAGAAGTTGAGATAAAAGAAACAAGTACAGGAAACCAAAATGGAAAGGAAGGACGTGTTCTCACACTGAAGCCTCTCTGATTAGAAAGCAAAAATGCATGTCTTTGTAGAGTGTATACTCACCTACTACAAGGCCGCATTCAGGGCAAATCATGTCCCCTGCTCTGTAGTCCTCCACCAATATGGCATCAGGGTGGTTGGGACACTGAACTCTGGGAAGGGTCAATCCCTCTCCACTAGAAAAGGATAACAACAATCAAATTGCTCAAAATGCAAGAAAGGGAAAATGAATGGGTGGGGTAGAGAGAGGTCATGATGAGGTCAAGACAGAAAACGTCAACAAAGTGTGCCTTGTAAGAAATCACTCATGAGAGGAAAATGGAATGGAAAATAACAGCCAATGTAATTCTGATCTCTGATATCCTGGGGGGAGGGTAAATTTAAATCATAATGATAGTTCAGATGTGTTTTGCATTTACACTTTCTTTTCCTCCTTTTGCTGCTGAGAAGATATGCCTGAGTGAATATTCTTCCACAACACATCTTACAAAACAACTGCTGTATGTTGTAATGGGTCTATTGGTCAAATGGGCCAAACTGGCTGAGGATGGCTTGGGCAGTGTCAGCACCTGAGTCCAGACAAAGGAAAACGATAAAAATAAATCTGGGTAAATGTTTTATTAATCTGTGATTAGCTTAATCAACAGCACAAGGGCAACATCAAACAATCTGAACTCAAAGCTGAACATGATCAGGTAGTTATGAAGCATCAGTGTCCTTACTAATTATTTTCATTATTGATGAATCTACTATTTGTCTTGAATAATTGTTTAGTCTATGAAATGCCAAACCACCCCTGAAAAATGCTCTATACAGTTTTACAGAATTGTAGACATTTTATATATAATAGCAAATTGTCATATCAGTAGTAAAGTAGTTGTAAGTTAGTTACAACAAAACACCAGATGAAAAGAAAACATAATTAGTTAGTGTGCCCACTTAAAGCCAGAGTCTATTCACTCAGAGTACGAACTTCAGACACGCTCCAGTGGACTCATGTTGCGTAAAAGGCTAAACGTACACATGCTGTACAGAAAACATTTGCATGTGTTTACAATAGGCAGGAGCGCTGATCCAGCACTCACAACCCGCAGTGAGTTTATATGTTAGCTCAAGTTTCCGCTTCACAGTACGCTAGCTTTATCACGATGTTAAACAGAGTAAAGGTAAAAGAAGCCTACGATGCGAGGCGACGTTAACGTGGTAACGAGCTGAAGCTATTGAGCGACGGGGAAGAGCAGCGGGGCTGTAACGGCGATACATACAGTGACTTCTGGCACCATCTAGCCAGCTACCTAGCTAACTAGCTGCTACCTAGCACAATACATCGTACGCCTAGCGGTGCGAATAAGGGCGTGGGTTGTTTTGACCAGAACTAGCTTGTCCTATCATGTCCAAATCAATATTGTTTTTACGAAGTAACATTCGCATAAAGAAAGCAGATGGTGTTGATTTAGTCAAAGTTGCTACGTACCGGCTTGTCGACGCCATATCACCCTCTCGCTCCGCCTGTGTGTCAAAGAAACAAATGCTTGCAGCACCTCTATTTATAACTTTTTCTGATCACGTGTCTGTTTGAGTACGGAAACCAAAGAGCCCAAACTAGACCAAATGTGCTTCGGTGTTTATCAGTTCTTTGTTGTAAAAGCAGGATTTCAAATGACAATAACACAACAATTCTAATTAATAGAGTTGTACCAATGGTATAACATGTAGCGATGTTCAAAGATATTTCTATGGATTCATGTTAAATTTAATTTCTCAGTGTGCTCACGAAACCTGGCGATCAGGCAGGCTACACCCAAGACAACCAAAGACGAACAATTAAAGAAACAAAGCAATACCATACTTAAATACAATTATAACAGCATACACCAATAAAATATCACTGAGTCACAGTGTATTGAATAGGTCTGTAATTGTAAGTAAACGTAAGCGATTTCCTTGTAAACTTCCTGTAAAGAATTCTGTTAATTCCAAGATCTGAGAACTCCCTTGAAAGGAAAGCATTTACACCTAACTAAAGAGTCATTTGTTATTAATGTATTATTTCAAACTATGCATTGCCTGCAAGACTCTCTTCAACCAATTATTTTCAGGAAATTTCCTTGGAAATTATAAGCAAATGGCAGACCTGTAAAACAAAGCGTTAACCCCCAACCAAAGCAGCACCTTTTTAATGTGTCATTGTGGTTGCCTCATACATGGGAACACAAAACCATCACTTGCTAACATATAAGAACAAGATAAATGCCACTTCCACTTTTTAAGACAAAGTTATACAAATGGTCACTGAAAACTTACAGTAACAACAAATCTCTAAACTGTACAGATTTACACCCTAACAAGCAAACTGATATAAAAGGCCTGTCCTATTGCTGTGTGACTGTGCCACCCTGTGTCTCTGACTCAGTACCAGTCTGTGACTGCACTGCTCCTTGGCACCATACTTTCCAGGCCTGTGAAGGAAACCACACAGAGCCACAAAGAGTTGCTTGACTTGGTCACGTTTCCGAGTAACACAATAACAAATCTAGATCTGTATGTAAATTAAATATCTATGACTTAACATAAACCAACAATACTTGCTATGTGTGGCAACAAAACTTATTTCTATAACCTTTACAAAAAGTCATACACTTCTTTGGAAACTGAAGTCAACTATGAATGATTGTAATGCATTATGATTACCTCAACAGTACCAGTAATAAAAATGCCAGTGCATCAAGAATACAGCAGGTGGCGCTAAATAAAAGCGTGTGCAAGGTTTGGAAAACAGCCAAGTCTCACTGGCCCAGCACTACACTCATTGTTCCAGGATGATGATTACAGTGATTAGTTTAATGGACAGAGAATTCAGAACTGATCTCTCATTTTCAGGTTATTCATATTAGAATCTACTTATTCCAATAGTGAAAAATCTGAGTCAGCCTGCCACAAAGTACAGTCACATTTTGCTGAGTACAAATCTGGGCTGAGAAATCTCATCCGACATCTGGCAAGTGCTGGCAGCTCATAGTGATGTGAATGTCTGAGTCCAATGTGAGTGAATCTGACTTGGTGGAAAACAGCCTTGATGTGGTCCTCCCATCAACACTGCAAATGATAAGCAATAACCAAACCTCTGTGTGTTCTGCAGCTGATTAAGGAGCCATACGGAGAGAATGTGTGCACCATGGGCTGTTAAGTTGTTGTTTTTTTTAACTGTTGAAACCAGAGTTTGGCTGAAAAGTGTGCCTGAGAAGCAATCACAGATCTTTAATACTTACTTTTCTAATACTATTGACAGTGAAAAAACCTCTGTTTGACTGAGTCTGACTGTGGAAACAAAACTTGCAGAAAAGGTTACAGATCGCAGCACACCACAGGTACACAAAATGCAAACAAGCATGTATTCTCAGGCTGTTTTTCTTTGTCTCAAACACACATGCAAATTCACACATGGTCCTAACTATCCTCAAACACCTCAGGGGCTGTTTATTCATTATTTCCCAACTGCAACAACATATCAAGCATCATTTTTATTTATGACTGATTTAAGTAATAACAAAGGATCAACACACGAGCAAACAGCATGTGTGCAAGCGCCCGGAGTGATGCATGTAATTTGACACACACAGGCGCACATCCCAATCCCAAATCCTCCCCACTACATGCCCAACACTAACCCCAACCTAATCCTGAATTTCCTACCCCCACTGTGAGTGGGTAAGACCTCTGTGTTTACTGTGCAGAGTTAATTCATTACCATAGAAACAGATTTATTTGTGTGGGTTTGTTATTGGGTTGTGGCTTTTGCCAAAATTTGAATGACTGTTTATTTTTTGCAGCTTCCTCACAAAGACATCACAGGTGTGTATATGTGATGTAAAGTTTAACCACTAGCTATTGTTTATAGGTGTGATACTACCCTGTGTATCCATTCCAAATCAGAGAGGGAGATCCATACTGAATAATTTATAGCTCACTGAGCAAATTCTCAACCCACTGAACTGGTTGCCAGGGGAATCATAGACTCCTCAGCTGTTTGGCCACATTACCTCCACCGGCAGGAAACCCCATGCTGCCCAACCACTGTGCCCGCTGCAACCCAGTATGACTGGTTCATTACAACATCACTATACCTTTATACCTACTCTCACCGCACCGACCACAGCCGAGATGTAATGCAATATAGACAACACAACGCCAGGGTCATTATAGGTCATTGCATAAATTTATATCAGATAAACACTTTATTATTAATATCTTCGCAATAAGGAAATTGTTGAAAACTGTTTTAGAAGAATTTATGTGACCATAGTGAGTATATACTCAGTTGTCAAAGACTTTTCTCATTCACTAAGGGTCCACTATAACTTGGCTATCACAAGATTGAGTCACTCAACTCTGAACAAACAACAGAAATAGGCAGTCTGATATATTATGTTGTATGTATTTTACCTGGTTTCTACAAATCCTGTAAAAAAAAAAAAGACAGACAAAATCAATCATCAGTGTAATTAGTCTGCATGTGTTTTTGTACGGTCACACACCACCTCGACATCTGATCTTGTAATCTGGCAGACTATAACACTACACGCCCCAGTGGCTGCTTTTCTTTCTTCCTTTTTTTTTCTTTCTTACTTTCAAAGTACACGGGTAAGCGTGAGTGAGAACAGAGTGCCAACAGCCAGCAGCCCAGGACCGGTTGAAACCTGTATTGGTTGCAAGTGAAAAGACACTTCCTCCACCCAGTGCATCACCAACCAAATCCAGAAAGAGCTGGAAGTGATGCATGAGTTCAGCACTCAGGGTCCTATTGACAGTTGAGTTCATCATTACCAATAAAACATATAGACAGAATAATATGTAGACAGATAGTAGCACAGTGGATAAACAATGTTGCGTTATCAGTACATGTGATAATAACAGTTTTGTTTGTCTAATATGGTGCAGCATGTCAAACACGTGTCTTGTGGACAAAATGCACATGTGAGTCTAGGTCTTAATTAGTCAGCAAAGTTATTTCAGCCATCAACAACACACATTTTGTGGTGTCTGAGATTGAAACAAAGAAGGGGAAGCTGGTGTTGCGTTTATGTCCCGTTGGAAAGATGTTAGAAAAGAGAACTCAGTCTTCAGTTGGTACCCTATAAAAGCTCATCTTCTTTCTGTAACACATTATTTGTTTTTCATTAGCTGAATACTTACAAAATTTGTTATAGATATCACTTTGTTTGCTACATACTGTACAACAGTAAATAGGCATTTTTCACAGCAGACATTTTGACTTATTATAGTAGGAATGGCACAGGTTTTACTAACAACATTAAGCCTCATTATTCCCTTATTTACACTTGTGCTTGTCCTACAGTGACATGTCAAATGTCCCTGAAAAGGGTCTATGTAAAACCATTTGTGGCTCCACTGGCCCATTTGTTACTTTTGTGATTTGGTTACATAGTCCCCTGCAAACCTTTTGCATAACATTTTTAACTGTTTTCTTTCTACTTAACCCCTGTTAAAACCGACACGTCCTCTTTTTGCTTGAACGTATGGTGAAGGCTGCACCAATGGCAAGTTTCAAGTTAAAATATTTAATGAACATTATCCATTTTTTATTGGAACAATACCCCCGCCCCCTAACAAGCTCAAAGGTTCTCACAATTGTAGGCTTATTATGTTGAGAGCCATACCGCAGTGCTGGGGGAACAGAAACCCCCTTTGACAAGTTCCCACAATAGTCCGTGTCATGCTAAGCAAATACAGAGCTTTTTCAGATTCCTATATTGTGCTAGAGAGCTGGGGAATATTATATTATATTTATCATTATGTTTCATATAAATCTGTGCAACCCTGGGAACATAAGAAAGACCCCGTTGTGAACATATTGACATATCATATCATCACCCTCAGGACGAACTTGCAAGCAAACTATTGCATATTATTCATTCAGTGGTTAGGCAACACCAGCTTTTATTTAGAGTAATGTTTCTGTTCACCTGGGGAAGTCCAATGTTCACTCTCTATTAGCTCTGTTCTTCAGTGTGGTCTCTACTAACCTCTTCGGCTGCTACGTTCACCTGCTGGTCCTTCACTGTATCTGTCTGCTGCTTTTTATTTATTTATTTATTTTTAATTTATTATTTAGCTTTATGGTGTCCTGCTAAAAAAAGGACACCACAAAGTTGCGGGCCAGACAGCGGAACAATGAGCTGGAACTCACTCTCCATAAAGCCGAGGAGAGCTGCAGATTCAGCTGATAACTCTCTGCAGGTTCATCACTGCGAACCACCTCTTTCACGTTGTAACATTGTTTTCACGTTGTCATTTGATACACTGTTGGTGTATAATATCGGCTATTAAATATAAACTTTCGGTTCTTTTCAGCCGAGCCGCTGGCCTGTAACACTTTTTTCCCGATACGCTCTGAACGCCGCATCAGATAAGCTCGCAGGCGGTGTCTTCGGGAACTTGCCGTAATGTCATCCTCCAATGAGAAGCGCCCATAACACCCACAACAGCGGTCTGTGCGGCTCCATGTTGGATCTACCTTT